GTGGGTTGTGGCGAGTTTTGTTGTAAATTCCCATGAGGCGGGTGTAGGCGTAACTTTCGTTGGTCAATGTGATGACGCAACAAACTCAACGCTGGTTGAGACGTCCACGTAGAGTGATTATACGATGAACTGGAGCTGTCTGATGCGGTGGCGAACAATGACGTAACGTTCCGACGCTGGGAACTTGGACGATGGGTCTTCTACCCTTTGTATGTGCCGACGTAGGTTAACTTAGCTGGCGGTCTGTTAGATAACCCCAGGGTGGGGCTAAGCGGTGGCGATGCGTCCGCTGTCTTGACCAGGGCAATTCACTGTCCAGCAGGCTGTTCGCTGTCCAGGTAACTCAACGTGATCAGGGGCTTCGGGTGGCGGCATTCTTTGAAGTGTCTGCTTCATCTCGTCTCATTCTCTGTAAGCGTTGGTGGTCTGAAATTGTATTACGAGACCATGAGCAATGGCTTTATGTGACCATTTTAGTGCCCGCGCAGACAAGTATTCAGACAGAGGTACCTTCCATTTAAAAAACCTCAAACCAAAATTTAAACGTGCTGAACATTTGTCTGGCGGCATAACAAACATTAAAAAAATAACATTACAACATAACCAAATAAAAAAATCAGTACACTCTAATCTAACAACAATCTGTAAAGCCTAATAAACTCAATAGACGTAAACACTACTAGAGCTTAGAAATAGCTTCAGAAAAAGAATAGACATGTGAGTGTATATCAATAATATAGTGTCATTTCAAATCAATATTTGAACACGTAATCATATAGTGGAGCAGCTCTCACTATCTGACTTCTGACTTGACTTAAACTGGCTGGTTGACTTAATGACTGACTTCACTTATGACTTCAGTAACTCGACTTATTTCACTTTGACTGACTTCAGTAACATCACTTATTTCACTTTGACTTCAGTAACTCGACTGACTTCAATTTAACGACTGATTCCACTTTGACGACTTCAATTACTTCAACTTGACGACTAACTTCACTTTGAAGACTAACTTGACCTCGACGACTTCACTTCAATTCAACTTAAAAGACTTCACTGACCGACTTAAACTTCGACGACTTAAACGTCTTCACTTTGACTTCAAAGACTTTTCCTTGACTTCAACTACTTCAATATGACTTCAAAGACTTCACTTTGACTTCAACAAATTCAATATGACTTCAAAGACTTCACTTTGACTTTAACAACTTCAATATGACTTCAAAGACTTCACTTTGACTTCAACAACTTCAATATGACTTCAAAGACTTCAACGACATCACTTTGATTTCAAAGACTTCGCTATAACTTCGACGATTTCACTTCTTCACTATAACTTCAAAGACTTTTCTTTGACTGCAACATGACTTCAACTACGTCACTAAACACACTATGACCTCAACTACGACTCAACTTATTGACTGACTTCACTGACTTCAAATAACTTCTTTGACTTCAGTTCTGACTTATACTTCACTGACTTCAATAACACTATTGACTTCAGATTGACTACACTGACTTCGACTTCAACTATATCGACTTCACGACGATTTTTTCGACTACTTAGATTAACACAAAAATACTCGACTTGACTTCACAATTATGTCCGTTGTTCAAAATCATTTATGGAGGCGGTCCGGGTCACATTCTTGGTCATGGGGTTGATGTTCTTGGGCAGTTGCGTGTTATCTATGTGCTGTACTTTCCGTTTCACTAATTCTAACGCTAACTCTGCTTTTGTTCTTGACATTTCTTACTATCTTGACTATCTTGTTTTCTAGCTTATTCTCTACAAATGTTTCAACTTCTCCTGTTTTGTCTAATGGTATGCCCTGTTTATAGCATTGAAACTCTGCCTCCATGGTTGTGTATGTGTGTGTGTTGAGGAAAGTAAACAAAACTAAGGCAACAGGGCGTAACAATAGAATGTGTAAGGCAGAAAAACCGCTGGCACAAACTATCCAGCACGGGTATAAACCCAAACGGTTAAAAAAATTGTTGGAAGGTACTTATCTTTTTGAACATGGTGACTGTTCCCTTGTGTTGGTAATCCACTCGTTCCGGTTGAAGAAACCCGCTGTTGTGTTGAGTTATAGGAAGCTGTACACCAGTACACTCCGTCATGAGTAAACCGATATGTACTGTCTTTCCTGTCCTCGACCCGCGCTCCACCAGTTGTGAGGGTGGGGATTTTTACGAAGGCCGAACGAATGTATGCAATAACACACAGTTCAAGTTCAACTATAATTGTTCTTTATTAAAATGATATATATGTTCAAGTTTCTACCTAACTGATCTACACTGTACTACTTCTATCTGACTGTTCATTATACCACTAACTACGCACTCCCATGACCACTCCTAACACTATCTAACTGTTCTCTAGCTATGCAAATTACAACCGTCTCTAACCGCTTCCTAACACCTTCTCTCTCGCTAGCTAATCATCAACTGCCGTCCTATCTCTCTACTGCCCCACGCCTCAGTGGTCAGCTGACCGTCCCACGTGACCGGTCAGTCCTGTGCGCCCATTGCCTCTCTAACCAACCAACTAGGCCTATAGTCTGTTTCTGCTAACCTATATCTGCTAAACATGTCTGACGTAATCTTGCGTCATCACAGTTGGGCAAAAGTTCTAGTGCTGGCCACACCATGCCTTCATATGTAGTCATTTAGAAACAGATGAACCCTATTTCATCTGCCCTATGGATCATCAGGTCCAAAACTGCAACTTAATTTTTTTTTGGGGGGGTGGGGGAGGTTTATGTATTAACAGTTACTTTTTATCAAATTTTATATAATCCACACTAAAAATAAAAAAAAGAATAACAATTAATGAATGTAATGTCCTTTAATACAGTCACAGCTGGTGTTTATATTTATTACATAGGACTTAAAAATAGCTGCTCTATCCTTAAGGCCTCAAAAGGAGGTATTAGTGAGTAGTTGGTCTTAACTGATGAAACATGTTGTGTTCAGTCCTATTCAGCACAGCTATATTTATTCAGCCAAGCAGGGAAATTCTTCGTGATTGCTTCGGTCCTTTTTATTTTTCTTCACTTTTTTTAAAATTATGGCTTTATACAGTTTTGTTCTTAAAGCTATCATGCATGGTTGTTCACCAACATAGTTAAGTGTAATAATTACACAGCACTGTGTTAACTGGTTCAGGGTTTGTCATCATTTATTAGCATAACTTACATAATATTTAAATTTATAGCATGCACTCTGTTACATTCTTTGAAGGAACAAAACCATCCAAAAATGTATGATACTTCTATGATAGCTAGCTGGACATTGCAGGGTCATACATTGGTTGTTGGTCTATCTGTATCATTGTTGGGATCAGGGTTAGGGTATTGGTGCTGCCATTAAAAAATCTTTTCTTGTGGCTCATATTCATCTACCAATGCTAATCCTGCATGGTGATTTACATCTTATTAAACCCTCTATTCCAAGATGGACATTAAATTTCTTCTGTATTTTTCTATTGACCTTAAAACTCACCCCCTACATATCAATAACTATTTATTACATGACATAGTACCTGCTGTCCTATGATAGTTTTACCCTGAATTTTATAATGCTGCATTGATCTTCCCACTCACTGTATTGATTTCACCTTTAAGATTGATTTTAATCTCCTTTCTCAACTAAATTATCTTTTGGTTTAGCTATTTATATATGCACTGTATAGATTCATGCTTTGCTCTGGGGAATGTAAACTTCATGACATCGCTGCTCATGTCTGATAATTGCGTAATTGCTTGTGAGTTTTGGGTAAACTGTGGAGCAATAGTTTTCTAGCCATTATAAGATTGATATTAATATGGATTCCTGAAAAGAAGAATTTTTTTACTGTCAGTGATGTGGAAACTTTTTATTCTAATCGCTGAGAGCATCTAAATATAGTAGACACAAATTTTAAAAGGTATTTTTTCAGAAGCCTTCACCAACTACCTATCAATCCCTCTACTAGTCAAGGGACCCACTACCACCACCTACTCTATGCCAATCTAGAACACCACCTATCATCCACTCTATTCTAGTCTAGGAACCCACCCACTCTATACCAGTCTAGAAAACCACATGCTGTACCAATATTTTCTGCAACTATAAAAATCAAATTCTTTAACCTGCAACAATTTTACAACCACTGTGCTGAAAAAGTATCATAGTTGAAATGTTATATGTACTGTCCAAATACCTGAATGCTACCTGTATTTTTTAAACTTGTATTTAGGCAACTAAACCTGTTTTGTAAACAGTTATAATTGTGGGAGCTCCCACTAAGGGACCAGCCAGTAGCGTGGCAAGGGGGGGGGGGGGGACATATGTCCGACCTTAGGGGGCGCCAAAATGGGTTGGAAAAATAAATTGAAAGTTTGAGGGGGGTGCAAATCAAAAGTTTGAGGGTGGGTGGGGGTGCAAATCGAAAAGTTTGCCCCCGGGCGCCGGGAAGGGTCGCTGCGCCTCTGGGACCAGCTCAGGGGTCTTGGGAGTGGTGTAAGGAAATAATTTTAAAAGACATTTACAATGATGTCATGGGTTCCGAACTCGCAAACCAATGGCATAGAGGTCATATTCTCCACTCAGCCACGTCACATAACAATTTGTAAAAATGAATTATTTTTTTATTGAAGCTCTCAGGGGACTAGCCTAGTCCTCTGTGTCCCCTGTCTGTGAGCAACATTTATAAACTTGAAATCTGAATTGTACTTTACTGTATTTGCTGTGCTAGAATATTGTTATATGTTATAGATTTTCCTCTTTAACAAAAAGCAGCTGTCTCCCGTATGTCAAATTTAAGTAACATCTGTTGTTTTTTTTTATTTTATTTTTTTTATTTTCTACAAAACTTTACTACCCTTGATTTGATTATTTTTTAAAATTTGCCTTTTATTAGTATGCTTAATGAAATTTTATTTCTGTTCTAACTCCAGTTGCAGCCAACTTACTGTGGGTTTTACAATAAAAATGTATTGTTGTTTAATTTTCAGGTGAAAAACTTTATTCCCTCAATAAGTGCAGTGACTGGCATAACACCTCAAACATATCTGTGGCGCACATGTATAGCTCTTCACTCTGCACCAAGGTTTGCTGTGAATCTCATCCATTACAACCATTATATCAACCAGTTGTATCGTGTTAAGCCAGAGAGAATTGGAAAATATAAGTTCCTTATCAAGGTCAACTTTTGGTTAAATTTTGTTGAAAATTCCTGTCTGACATTAGTTGCCTACATAACAAATCGAGAAAACTATCGTGAGTATAGTTTTATCTAATTCATTTTTCCTGTTACTATTTAATTACTTAGTTTCCCATATTGCCTAGTTTTAAGAAAGATTTGTGAGGGTGATTTATTGGTTTTTTAAAAATATTTTTAATTTTTTTTTTTTCTCAACCTTTCATCAGCTGTCCATGAGAAAATCTTTGTTGTTTTTATGATAACTTCCCTGTGCTACATGCTTCTGAACACAATCATCTACAACTGGAGCAGGGATGGTGTTTTTACAGAAATTGTAAGTATGATACTAGTTTTTTATGTAACCTATGTGTGAAATAAAATTCATTTCGGTAAGCATTTGTGTTCTGTTGTGTTCATTGGTACTTCAGTTTTTAGTTCTAAGTTTTTTGTTGGTGCCAATAATACTATTAGGGTGGCTATATTGACATAGAATTGTGTTGCAGAAATTGTTTTTAAATATACATTCAATTTAATACTATTTTTTATATACATTTTTTACAAGTATCCTGAACATAATTGATAAAAACACTGCTTTTAAAATACAACCCTCACTGATATTTTGTTTTCACCATATGTTACAAACAGCTGTAGAAATTACAATAGGATTAATGTTTTGTTAAAAGGTAGTCAAGGAATCCTCTCTTTGAACATTGATTGAAGAAATCTACTACATTATGTATGAGAACTATTAAAAATAAATGACTCAATGATTTTTGGCAGGGCATACACTTAGTTTTAGGATTGCTGTACTTTATAAAAATGCTGTTTAAATCTTGTAAATGCCTGAGTGATGCTGGAAAAGTATAAACTGTATAAACATTTACTCAGAGGGCTAGAGTAAAATCATACATGAAACAAGTAGCATTTACCTAGGACATAGTCACAGTACTTGTGGCATATTCTTATAATGATTTTGTACTTAAGATCACCTGAGCACACAAAACTGATTACCCATTTAGGAAAAAAACAAAAGACGTGTCTATTTTAATCATACTGTGATATTAATTTGAAAAGTAAATTAAAAAAAAAAAATATTTTTAAATGTTTTTTAAAAATGGAATTATTGGAATTGAAATATTTAAATATTATTTCTGAAAAGTTTCACAATGGCTATTTGCTATATATTTGTAATGAGTGTTAACACTAAATAGATAAATTAGGTGAAAATATATTACTGACTAATTTCATTTTTCATAGAAGGAATGCATTTTACTTATGTAAAACTTTGTAACAAAATTAAGTAGAATTGTTGAGTAAAATAAGCCATAACTTATTCATACAATTGCAAATTAAGTTAAAATCGACAATTTCCTGAGAAATTTTTACTTAGGGTAAACTTAATTTGCATTGATTGCATATTAGAATTGTTTGCTATCCTGAGCATTGATTTACAAGGACTTTAATTGTTTTCAGGAGAAAAGATCTTATTGGTGGAAGAAGGTTATGTTCGCTTCCATAGCAACAGCAACAGCAGGGCTTCTCTTCTTTTTTGTACTGCACAGACTTTACTGTGTTGTTGGGGGTAAGTTTCTTTAGCAATCCAATTATTTTGAGAGTTCCAGGTTTAATTTTCGTCTTAATGCACTGTGAACATAAATTTAGGGGAGGGTTCTGGCTTTGTATGATGTTAAAAAAGTGTGACATTGTTTAAATAAATTTATTTACCCATTGAGCTAGTTTTTAAGAAAAAATTACCAATTTTATAAATTATGACCCCCAGAGGAGATAATTCTGATTTGCTTTTCATGATTATCTGCCCTTTGTTTTGCTTATCAGGTAGATCAGGACCCAGAGAAACTCTCTCTTGTCTGCAAATCTTTGATCTCTAGTCTGGGGCGGCCACTCCAGGCTTACTAGCAGGGTTTTAACTCTGGGTTTGACAGTTTGGGCACTAGTAGTGTGAATCAAATTTTGTAGACAAAGGGGAAAATCTTGATTAAGTTTCATGATTATCTGCCTTTGTTTCACTGTGTCAAGTGGATTAGGACAGAGAGAGATTCTCCTTTCTTAGGCATATCTTTGATCTCTGGTCAGGGGTTGATCGGGTTTGGTCTGTGCAGTGGGTAGAACAATGGGGTTGATTATATCAACTTTCTGGTGGCTTTGTTGTTGTTCATCATGGTCGGCTTGTGAGTTAATTATGATAGATCTTGTTGTAATTTCAACTGTATCAGTTTCAAGACTTTAGGTACCAACAAGAGTTGTGAGATCTTCTGCCTGGTGCAGGTTTGGTTGGTCTAGTAGAGTAGTGTGTCCTGGTTCTGCGTTGTTCAAGCATGGCACTCTGGGCTATCTTCAAGCACTCCATATAACTAAAGTCAGCTTTTCTCTATCTTTCTAAAACCTCACGTCTTTTGTATGGTGGTGAAGCTGCCACCTTATAATGCTTTGTCTTCTTGTTTGCAGATTAGGTTCTCATCTCAACGGCTTACTAAAGTTGTAGTACTACTGTCTTTGATCACCTGCAATTTCTTTTTAAGTTTCTTCTCCCATCTTTGTTATTCTTCCTGTTTTTTCCTAAGGCTTTTTCATACATTTTTAAACAAAGTTGCTGAGTTGTTCCCCTTCGTAGTCAAGGCCAATAGAGCACTAGGTAAATGTGGAGTGTTGGTAGTGCTATTTATTATGTAACAAGGTTGCTGATTGGTCTGTTTTCAATAATTTGATGCAGTTTTTATATGTAGTCCACCAATCACAATTTGTCAGTTTCAAATAAAAATTTAGCCTGTTAATATTATTATCATTATGCTGATAAATTTGGTGGTAATTTGACAAAGGAATTAATGTTAACCTGTATGTAAAAAAGTGTGAATAGAATTATTCTTATAAAAGTTATGGGCAGATGGTCAATTATGAAAAATCTATAATTTTTCATACTAAAAATTAGTTTTGAAGGAATGTGACCCTTAAATTATTACTTTTTATTCAGTGCAGTTAAAGTTTTAGAAAAGAAATATCAGCATATATTAAAAGCTTCTATATTTTAAAATATTAATTATTAATGCATTAGACATTTTCATACTCTAATCTAATGAAAAATTTCTTTCAGCCTTCAGTTTCTTCTCTGTTTGTGAGTATATTATAGCATACACCAACATGGGTTATCACTTCACTGCCTACTTAGACTTTAAAGGTCAATCTTTTACTTTTGGAAGTTTCCGTCAAGACATGCGTAGCAGTAATGGAGTCACAGCAACGACTAACAACAACATTCGGCTCAAGAATAAAGTACAATGATGTTCGTGTAATTAGCATAGCTAGTTGAAGGAAAAGCTAAGATATTTATTTTAGGGAAATGTTGTTCATCTTATACCTTGTGTAATATATATATCGAATACTCTTGTCTAAAATGTTACTCATTCCCTAAAGGTTTTTCTTTATGTTTCATATGTTCACATTAAGTTTGTGTAAAAAATTTATATAATAGGGCCTACACATACTGGTGTTTGAAAGAAGGTATTTAAATTTTAGAGACATGTGGTGTTTTTTGCAGAGAAACAGCCTATTTTTTTTTTACTATGGAAATATTATTTAGAATTGACTAGCTTTACTTTATATAAGCAGGGTTTCCCATGTACACAAATTAACTTTTAAAACTTACTATAGATACAGTTCATTCATCAATTATTTTTTTTATTTTGTATTTTTTACATTTGTCTATTTAAAAAAAAAAAGAAATACCATCTTGGAAGTCTTCTTACAAAATACTTTTGATTGTTTTAGCTGTAATTGTTCTTGTAAATCTATTTCCTTGTGTTTATAAATGGGATTTTGATTGTTTTAGCTGTACTTTTTCTTGTAAAATTATTTTCTTGAGTTTATAAAAGGGATTTTTACTCTTGGTATTGATAGCTACATTAATTTAAATGCTGTAATATATGTAGTGTATTATTAGTAAGTGAACATCATCAAGAACTTGTTAAAATAGGGATACAGAAATCTTAATGAGAGTAGTACCCCCAAGATAAATATGACATTAAAAAAACATTTACCTAAAGGAACACAGACTATCACGAAAATTCATTTTGATATCAAAACAGTACAAAGTAAAATATTAGAAAAAAATGTTAGATTTCGGAAATTAATTTTAAATGTTTCCCCACTGTTTGTAGTGTTACATGTTAGTATTCTACATAAAACATACATTTTTATAAATATCGGTGTATTGTTGCATTTTACTAATATACATAGTGCATTTATTTATAGTCAAACATTTGTTTACAAACAGTTTTAAAGAAAAATATTTTGGTTTATACATTAACCATACCTTTTTTTTTTGTAAAGAAATATTTCTTTACAAATATACAAATTCTAAGACACAGCAACGTATACATTTTCTTCTGGTAATGTACTTCTGGACCATTCATATGATTATTGGACCATATACCATTTCTATCACACATCTGTCTCTTTAAATAATTGTAATTAATGTGATTCAAATTTAAGTTTTTAAGGCCTATTTTTGTGCATCATCACAGCATTATGTATTTTGTATTAGGGACACATATCTTATTCCAGTAAGTGTATAGCCAATTGTTGGTTTGATAGATTACATTTTAATGTTCAATTATGATTAATGACTGATTGAACTTAGGAATTGTGCACATTTATAGGGCCTATATCACAAAAATTTTGACATTTTTTAGTTTCATCTACTACCACTTAAATTATATGAAAATTATATATATATATATATATATATATATATATATATATATATATATATATATATATATATATATATATCAAAATGATTGACCATCACTCCACCTTCTTTGTATCCTAGAACAAACACAATCTCCCTTAAGTCTACATTTTTTTTAAATAATAGTATATACATGGCAAAAATGAACCTCTCATAATGTTCTTTGTTTTTTTCTTTATTTCAATGACTTAAAGGAAATGTAAATCTAAATCAGGCAAACTTAAGCTGTTAAATAATTTTTTTCTCTGTATGTGGTCAGGGTTCTTGCCAGAGATTATAAATGTTTTTTGTTGGTGTGAGTTTCACAAGACGTCTTGCTTGTTAAATAAATTGTTCTATTCTTGCATACTTCCTGTCTTGTAACTAACTGTCCACTGTAAGAAAGCAATCAATTTATTGCCTTAACGTTTTTAAACTATTCGATGTCACTTAATGTTAAATAAATATGTAGGCAGATTTACCATATCATCCCGCCTTTAAAAAGTTTTAGATTATGCATTTTTTTTTTAAAACTGCCAGTAATATTTTTTAAAAGTATGCACTTTTTAAAGAACTTTATAGCATAGCTACATAAAATGTAATACACCATCATTTTTTAAATTAATGTTGATAGATGAAAACCAGTGTTGTCACCTATGTTGTCAAGTCCATGCCCGTAAGTTTGTAATGAATTATAGTAGAATATTGTATTGGCTGTCAGTTTGCATACTGCTTACATTTTTTTGTGATAACAAAAATATCAACTCCACCTCAAGGGATGTTGTATTCCTTTTTTTAAAGTTTAAAGTATATGTTGAATTTTGTACATGCTTCCAACAAAACAAAAGAGCATGCATGATTTAAAATTGTGAGAGTTTAAAATTATATCATTAAGATGTGTTTTTAGTAATTATATTAGAAAAGAAAGGAGAAAAGAATTGCTTTATACCTTTAAAAAAGCAATCATAACAGGTTGATTTATTTTTTAAAATTTGTATGTAAAAATCTAGCTTTAAAAATTTTCTTTTTTACTCTCAATAAAATGGAAGTTTTTTGGGGTTTTTTTTGCACATATCAAAGTCACCTAAAACATAAAAATGTTGTTATTGGTTAACTGTTATTACCACTTTTACTAGGATCAGCTACGTCCAGTTTAAAAAAAAAATCACAAATATTTATAGTCTAGTTTGTACTAAAGTACTATCTTACAGTTCCTCTCTTTCTATTGTGAGTGCCTACCAAGTATAACAGTGCAAAAACACTTGTATACCAAAAATAATGTTTCTTAGTTCCATGCTCTTCTAGTACCTCTTATTTTGTAAATAAAGTTTATATTTTTATTAAATGTATTTGAATGCACTATGCCATACATTTTATAAATTAAGCTAATACGCTCAATCTTGGAAATGGATATAGGGTTTGTAACTTTTTTTAAACTTCTAATTTTCTGAAATGTACTGTCATTTAAAAGTTTCATCTTGTACTCTTTTAATCTATGAGTGCTAAAGAATTGTTCCATTCCAATGTTAATTAAGTGCCATCATGTAATTTAATTCCTTTGCTGCAGAAACAACTGTTTGTTTTTCCTGTTTATGTTAATAATCAAATCTTCAAATTGTTTACTTATCATTTAGTGTAAAAATAAGTAAAGTAAGTATTAAAACAATAATTTACAGTTTTTAAAATAATGTTCCTTTGAAAATGTTTTGTTAAATGTTCTGTGTTTATAAGACTGGCAGGCCAGGTGTTTACAGTATTCACTCTGACAAGTTAAATATATGTATATATATATATATATTTATTAATTGGGCACTTAAATTTCTAAAGAAATATTGATTTCATTAATCCTAGTTTAGAAGTATTTAGGTTTCTGAAAATATGTTGCTTACAATTGTTTTCTAAAAAGGCATAAAATACCAGTATGCACCAATAAAAATGGATGGTCAATCAGAAACACATAACTGATTTTTCAGAAATTTAGTTTGTCTTGGATTAGACAGAATCACATTCTATGTTAAGCTTTATCCACTAAAATATTTGTACTAAAAGATACAAAAGAGCCACAATGCATATCAATAGACTCATGATTTAAATGGCCATCAAATAGTTTATATAAGTATAAAATCACTTAGTCTAGTAATCTTTGTGCATTAGTATGTACTATTTGCTAATTCTGTAATGAATGTTCTATAGTCATTTGTGCTAGTAAAATGTTAACAAAATAACATTCAATAAATTGAACAGAGAAATGTTGGTGTTTTAATTTTTATTAGTTCCTTTTTTAGTTTTATATTTGGTTGATGTTTTCTTAAAATGTATACACTACTATAATAACAAAAATATACTAACGATTCAAGCCATTTACAAAATTTTAACTGGGAAAACCTGATGTAAACAAGCTAAAATTCATTAAAGCAGTTAGCAAATAGCAGTCGGCAATCAACATTAGGTATTTTAAAAATATTTTCACCTTTCTTAATCATATCCCAGTTTTGATTGTTAAGTTCTGCCCCCATTTTGAATATAAAAAGCCACTCTGGCATATCAGCTGTTGATAAACGAATATTTTCTTTGTACACCCTAACTGTGGTCAGTTTTCTTGAATTTTTCACCAAATGCACTAATGCCGAAGAAGGAAGGGAAAGACAAGATAAAAATGATTCCAGCTGTATACAGTTACAACCTAAGTATCGAAAACTCTCATTGATTTTACCAAGGTCTGTAAAATGCATCAAAAACTCCCAGTAGTTGCTACAGAAAGCTAAGTTCTGAAGTGTTGCACCATAAAAATCAGCAATGCAGTTTAAAAGTTTGGCTGATATACTACTAGACAGGTTATCAAAAATAAGAGACTGCAGGAAGGGATTAGGATTCATGTCTTCATGGCACATGGCTCGGTTTTTGAAAATGTAGTGTACTTTAAAGATTGCCAGTTTTATTTCTGGCAATGCTTTTTGAACTGCTTTCCAATCAAGTGAGTGTTTTTCCATAAATCCTGACTCTTGAGTGTGATCATCATTCACTAGGTACAAGTTTATTAGTTTCTTCTTGGTTAGGTTGATCAATATTGCTGTATTTAAAGATTGTATTGGGCACTTCAAAGTCTGGAGATTTACACATTGTAGTAATTCATCTACTGACTGATTGCTGCTACAATCAAGGACCAAGCCATGGGAAAAATCCAAGCAGACAATATGTTCTAATAGTTTATTTTCACATAAATATATCAGGAAGCTTAGAATTCCACTACGCAGAGTATCAATAGATGAATAGAACATTCTATTCAAAGAGAGTTTAAGGTTGCAGCCACATGTGGTTGTTAAACATTGCAAAGGCTGAAGATAATTTTTTAATGAAGACTTAAGCTTTGATACTGAAATATCAGGTGGATGCATCAAACACAGTGCCTTGAGGTTATGGCAGTTCTGAGAAACAGCTTCAAGAAGATGACAGTCTCTGTCAGTTTCATCCCCGGTCTCAAAAATTTTGTGTATCCAAATGGTGCATGACTGGAAATATTTACCATATTTTCTAATTATGTTCAGTTCTTGCTCAACCAGTACTGGAAAATATATGTGTAATTTTTCTACTGCATAGCATCGGTCATTTTCAAATCTTTCCCATGCAAGAGGAGAGTTCATAATATGCTGTACTCTCGGAATAGCAGCTGTAAACCATTCTCTTTCTTTCCAATGTAAAAATGATATAATTTTACCCAACACGATGTCTGGCAGCATTGCAATTTTCAAAGCTGTACTGCATAGTGGAAGTTGCTCAGGGCTTACTGTTGTATTTGTATTACAGGGAAAATTACAACATCCGGAACTATCCAAGTCTAACCGCTGAATATCTCCAATTGAAGAAGTGCTTTCCTTCATTTTTTTTAAAGCCATTTTCAAATAAGCTGTTATATATTGAAAAATATCTACACTTTAATTTCTGCTAGATTGTTTGTTTAAATCTAAGCTTTGGTATTGTAAATGCCTTTTATCTTACATTTGAGGCAAGGCCGGGGGGACGTTCTGACCGGGATTCAAAGGGATGACTCGAAATATTGTCCAATAAGTCAATCCCTAAAATTTATAATAGTAAAATTATTTAACATGAAATTAAAACAATTTGGAATACTTTTTAGTAGACCCAATATTATAGTTGTAGCCAACTTTGATGGTTCCAGCGTAATAAAAAGTTAATAATGAGTTATTAAAATTATTTGATAAATTATTAACATTAGATTTCGGTAATTTACTCATTTAGTTTTACTTTTAATTAAATTCAATAGTGTAATCACTAATAATCATACAGGGATCATCCATAAATGATGATGATTTTTACTCTCTTCCCACTTTGTGACAAAAAGCCAGACCCCATAAGAAATGACATCTCAACTCAGTTTACACCCCCCCCCCCCCCCCTCAGAACTGAATCTTGACTTAATTATTAGAAAAACATCGATTTAATAAAAAAACAAATATTGACTGAGCTAGGCTGAATTAATAAATTTCTTTCACAATTTACAAAAACACAAATAATGGCTACAATTCAGTTTCTAGCATCACCTTTTTTTTTAAATGCAAAAGTGTGATGTCGCACTACCTGAACACCCCTCCCCCTCATCGCAAAATTATGGATCCTCATCTACGAGTGTGACATCACTTACTCACTTAGTTATAGACACCAGCACAAACAAAGAGCTTATTATAGCCCTGTACTATATATAGTATATAATATATTAATATAGAATATTATAGATCCAAGGTAAATGATTTAAATTATTATATATTAAATATAAAAGTAAAACTTACTTCTACTCTTAGTTTAGTAATTAGTGAGTATTACCTTCACTTTAATTTAATTAGAACTAAAATCTAGACTATACTATTAAAAGTATTATTCATAATAAAATAATAAATAATAATTATTAAATATTAATTAATTATTAAAATTATTTATTCTTCAAGACTAGTTCAAGACCAAGACTTCTAGCTAGACTAACTTAAATCGGTAATCTATCATTTTAGGTACGTAAAATCGCCCGTGGCTAGTAACGTACTAAAAAGTTACCTCATTGTCAAGGCTTTAATAGAAGTATATTGTGATATTTTTGTGTCAAATATTATAGATAAATGAATAATAAACCTAAATCAATGGCTAAATATATCAATATAGGCAAGAAATTAACTTTAAACAGTGGCGTTTGCGAGCAGGATTTGCTATATAAAAAGCGGCCATCTGGAAGTTAGAGTGGCTTCCCCTGAATCTCGCGCTATAAGCTTACAATAAAAAAAATAAACAAGATGGCTGCAATAGTAAATGAGCATGGTTGCATCTGTTGGAAACATCGCTAGTCTTCATTTATTACTGAAATGTTTTAATTCAATTGTTTAAAAACAGGTAGATCTACATAAATGAAACAAGGAAGCATTTTTGTATTTTTCAAAACATAAATCCTCTTCAAAATGTGAAATAATTATAAAAATATAAGGAGTCACCTGTTTTTCACATTACTAGACGCGGGCGATTAGATCATTTTACGTACCTAAAACGATAGTTACTAGTTAGATGTATTAGATTAGCCTTAAATCTCACAGTTAAAATGTTTTTAATCGGAGCTGATTAGTTATTTTCTAGATCTTATAGTTATACTGATACTACTGGTAGAAATTAACTAAAATTAATAAATTAAGTTCAACGAATGCAACATTTTTGTTTTGTTTTTCTTTCTTTTCCCATTCGTTTCTAATTTAAACAGTTTTGTTTCTATGGCGATCCCAACTGCTCAAAATGTACTATTTTTTATTTTGAAACAATCTGTATTAATCACTAGATTTAGCTCTAGATCTAGAATCTAGATGACTTTCGATATATTCATAGTGTAGGAACAACCTTTATATAAATAAGATAGATTTCTAGATCGAAATATAACTTCTAGAGCTAAGAATAGACTAGATTTAAAATCTAGGTCTAGATCTAGACTCTAGATTTTTTTTCTAGATCTAGAAATCTAGATCTAGATCTATATTTTTATCTGCCCAAAGATGCAGTGAGTAATCGAAAAGTTTGGGTTAAAATGGCGTTGTCCTTCCAAATTAAAAAGGTAATGCGTAGAACCTTTGAATTTGTCGACTTATCAGTATTGTTAAACTTAGAATTGTAGCCTAGATAGTTTCATTTATTAGTTAGATCTAATTATTAGGTGATTAATTAGAGCATTTTGCACGTAATTTATTTAGGCGCATTTGCGCGGTACACTTATCACTAAAAAATACTAAACTCATAAGTCATAAACTACATAAACTGATAAACTCTAAAAAACTCTACTCTAAACTCAGTTCAGTCAGTGTAAACTTGAGTAAACTGACTTGTAACTTGTTGACTAGAGGTTGGACTGTTTATTTTATTAGGCCTACTCCTCCTAATAAAAATAAAATTAAAATGGTAGTCAACCGTTTTAAGTATGTAAAATAGGTCGAGGCTTGTAATGTGAAAAAAGGGTGACTCATCAATTTGTTGTAATTATATTTCACATTTTTAAAAAGATTTAGATTCTAGTTTAGGCCAGGCTTAGTGTGGAGATGGGATTATTTTATTTTTAATTTTAGGGTAATCTAAATCGAGGCTAGTAATGTGAAACGACAGTGCTTCATTAAATTTTAGTAGGCCTAATTAAATTATTTTACATTTTTAGGAAGATTTATGTTTTGAAAGTTACAATAATGTTTCAAAGTTTCATTCATTTCATTCATGTAGGCCTACCTGTTTTTAAACAATTATTGTATTAAAACTTTTCAGTAATAAATAAAGACTAGCGATGTTTTCATCAGATGCAACAAAACTTGTTTACTTTAGCAGCCGTCTTGTTTAAGATGCATCTATTCGGACCCGGGTCCCAATAGCCACGGCCGCTATTCGGACCCGGGTCCTAATAGTAATAGCCTCGGCCGCTATTGGGACCAGCCAATAGAATTGTTAAGATTTAGTTATACAAAAATTCTTTTGAGATGCACAATATATGTTTTCTGTTGTGATTTTTTTTCCTTGTAATTCTAAATGATATATTGAGATCTTGCTTTAAATGCTCGATATCATTACTGACAAATGTTATGATGAGCGGGTGCCGTTAGGTCTATAATATAATTATGGCCTATGGTATGAACTTCTATGGCTGAGCGAATGTTGAGCGCGCATGTAAAAATGTGTTCTATTTTATTTATTTTTTCTTCTGTTAAACGTAATTTGATTTCATAGGTCTATCCGTCCAAATATAAATATATATATATATATATATATTTATATATATATGGACGGATAGACCTATGAAATCATATATATATATATATATATATATATATATATAATTGTATAAGATAGCTCATGTAGGCTGCAGACTACAGCTCCCATACGTTGTAGTACGCTTTAATAGCTGCAATATGTAACATTTGAACTCACAATGACCCCAAATCCGTTTTCCATCTTGCTGGGTTGGGGGGGGGGGGGGACTATGACAACGACAAATCTTGACAAGCTCTTAGCAATGGTCTTGCTATGACGTATGCCAGACGCCTACACTGTTCACATCTAAACCAAAGTGAACTCACAGTGACCCTGGCTACACCGTGTCGGTATTTTTCTTGCGCTGACCAGAAAACGCGAGTGGGCAATCAATGGAGCAATGAATATGATGTTTTTATAATTGGCGTGTTTAAAAACCTAAATCTAGAAAATAAAATATAATCTATTTAAAAAAGACTCTCATGCAAACAACTCAATGGAATGTTAAACTTAGATAGATACACATTACTTCACGCGAAAACGAGAGCTTTGATAGGATCCGATCCCGTAACTGATCCAGATTCGGGAGGTACTGCGTTCTCCACTCGACCACGGCGTCTTACGATAATTGCAAAGTATTTAATGATTTTGTATATACAGCTAAATATAGGGTATTTAGAAATAGTAACACAAACAAGAACTAACGCTAGATAATCCGCATGACTAATTACAATAAAAGATAAAATTCGAGCAAATCCACAAGAAAAATCAAATAAACTTAAAAGGTATAATTTTAATACAGGTTGTACAAGTGCTTAACGAAATTAATGCCGGGTCCCAATAGCCACTTCCTAAAGTTTTTTTGGTAAACATGTAGGGCCTAGCTGGAGATTCAGGGGAAGCCACTCTATTTTACTAATGGGTGCTGTTTATATAGCAAATCTTGCGCGCAAACACTGCTGTTTAAAGTTAATTTCTGACGTATATTGATATATTTAGCTATTGATTTTCGTTTATTATTCAATTATCTATAATATTTGACACAAATATATCACAATATAGGCCTACTTCTATTAAAGCCTTAACATTGAGGCAACCTTTTCGCACATTACTAGCCTTGGCTGATTTTACGTACCTAAAACGATAGATTACCGATTTTAGATACTGATGTCCGACAATATAGACTCTTCCATAAAAAAATAGGTGTGTTGGATTGTAAGCTCAACAAATTTTATGGTTAGAAATTACAATTTTTTTCTAATTAGGGTTAGGCGTATGGTAGAACTTGTTGGGGTTAGGGTTAGGGACAGGGTTAGCATTGACATTAGCCAGCAATGTGTGTATTTTATTTAGTTAACTACCAGTAACATTTTATGTTTTAAAAGTTACAAAAATGTTTCAAATTTTATTCATGTACTTGTTTTTAAAAAATTGTATTAGGCCTAAAACTTTTCAGTAATTAATAAAGATTAGCAAATTTTTTCATCAGATGCAACCAAGCTCATTTACTTTAGCACTCCAGCCATCTTGTTTCAGTTTTTTGGTAATTTTTTAGCTAGAGATTCAGGGAAACCACTCTAATTTACAGATGGCAGCTGTTTATATTATATAGCAAATCTTCCTCACAAACATGGCAGTGTTTAAAGTTAATTTCTGGCCTTTATTGATATATTTATTTAGACATTGCTTTTGGTTTATTATTCAATTATTTATTATATTTGACACAAAAATATAATAATATAGACCTACTTGTATTAAAGCAATATTAATAAGCCACCTTTCAAAAATATAATAATATAGTCCTACTTGTATTAAAGCAATATTAATAAGCCACCTTTCTCGCACATTACTAGCCTCGGCCAATTTTACTTACCTAAAACGATAAATTACCCCGATTTTTTTTCAGCTTAGCAATTCAATGTTGGCATAGTTTAAGTGTTTTATTTCAACACCTAAGGTAGGTGTTGAAATAAAAAAAAAAAGTATACAATCTAAATCAGTAAATCTAGTAGGCCTGATTGTAAAAAAGACAGTACAGTGTCAGTAGTAGGTCAGATGATAGTCCTCGATCTAGCTAGATCAAACTATTCTTAAGTAAATTATTTTTTGTTTTTACCGCTATCTAGACATTTCATTACAGTGTTAGATAGGTCAGAAGATAGTTGCCGCTATCTGGCATACATGGTACTAGATCTAAGTCTATAGGCCTAAAGCCCATATGAACTTACAAAAATGACCATAAGTAGGCCTGTTTTTTAATTAGCTTGGGTGTGGGGGGAGGGGAAGGAAAGAAGTAACTCAACCAATATTGGTTAACTTTTTATATGGATCAATCAACAGTTTTTAATGGTGGAAAAATAAAACAGCTAATGTTGATTAGTTATTAAGATATAACAAAGAAAAGGTAATGTCCATCTCTAACGAAAACGAATTGGTTGAAGCTTGAACAGTCTCTCCTACTCATTAAGAATATCTAGGGTTGAGAGGTACTCATTAAAACATCAACCTTTTAAAAGATCAAATTCAAAAATTAATGTGAGTATATTGTTCATTGTTTTCAGCTTATTCCATTATTGTCTGGGTTAAAACTACACAATGTTGAAAGTGTTAGGTTCAAATCCTCTCGAGGGCTTATACTCAAACGTAGAAGACCACTGAGAAAATGGTTTGATCCTGCAGATAAGTCTTGGGCAGAACCAATATTCAAATACAACAAAGAAAAGGCTGCGCTTCCTGATCCAGAACCATCAGTGCTACATATGGTTTATCGTATTAAGGACCATTATACCAGACCATACTGGGAAAAAGATATTTTAAAAGAATTTGGACTCTTTGAAAAGGTATTGTTATGTAGTTCTGTTTTTAAAATTGCTTTTAATTTCAAAATGATCTTTTTATACTTAAAATTGTCTCGGAGGCTAAGAAATAAATATATACATTATATACTTACTATATGTTGTTATGGTCACCGGGCATTTAACCTGGGGGGACCTTGACATAAATTTGGGAGGTCATAATAAAATACGCTTGATAGAGTGTTTGTCACGTCTAGGCAGTTGATCAGTGAGGATGTATAGATTTGATACTGGCCTCATTTTACTGAGTTTATCTGTCAAATTAAGTTGAGGGATAAGGAATTACATAATAATTATAAATAATTACATATATGCATGTTTGTTCTACAAGCACTAATCTCTCAATTAATTAATCAGAAACTCTGAACCCAAAATGCGCCCTGTCACCCAAGATTTCTGTACATCTATTTTCCTACAGTATAGCTACCCAAAAATAAGCATCCACCCCAAACCATTAGCAACCTTTCTTATTTCTCCAGATTTTCTAAATTTCAAGTTGTTTTTCTGTTTATACACTTGTTTTCAGAGTTACAATCCAGTTGTCATAAAAAATACACCAGAGATAAATGAAAAATTGAAAGTCATTCAACATTTAGTGCATATTAAACCTGTTACGTTCCCCTACGGCTTACCTAAGGATGAGAGTGACTATAAACACTGTTATTTGACAGAAAAGGGAGAATTTGTAGTTCGGCATCGTATAACTGATCAGAGTAAGGAAGTTGATCAGGCTTGGGCAGAGGTATGTTATGGATTATGCATTTTTATTGAATTTATTTAAAATTTGATTTTAAAAGTTAAGTTCAGTTCCTTAGCTTACTGGGCTTGATACCAGTAGGCAAGGAATGTTAAAGTCTCTAACTCTAATTATGTTTCTTATTAAGTAGAGGTCCCACAGATAAACTCTACCTCATCTCTGGATTTATTTTTAGTGTTCTGAATTTTTTTATTCATTAGCTATGCTTTTTTCCTTATGGTGATCCTGTGATAGAGTAAATAATTATCTGACCTTCCATGATTTGTCACACATGGCTGATGTAGCTTAGCACACATAGCAGTGTATTTATTTTGATCTTAATGTACAGTTCAGTCCTTGAAATAATGTGTTGTTATATGTATGCATCAAACAGTATTTTGATGACATGACACATAGAATTATCAATTCTTTATGTGAAGCTACCCTAAACCTTCTGAGCATAATGGTAACCCTGACAATAATGGTAGATTAACCTCTTTTATATTGTGCAATATTGTCCTGCAGACGCCATAACAATTAGAACATATTTCTTTTGTTATTATCTATATTAACTCTCAAAACTAGGTCAAAATGGTGGAGGAAAGAAAGGATAGTAAAGATGTTTGGAAAATGGATAAAAAGACTTTGGACAAAGAAACAAGAAGTGTCTTGCAACATTTTCGCCTGAGTGCTGAATATTTTAAAGAGAAATATGTCTACAAATATAATCAAGATGGCAAAGAACATAGATATAAAAATGAAAGCAAAATGGATAGATACAGACAGCATTGGTATTGATGTGAAAATTTTTGTCTTCTCAAATAAATGATGGAAAAAATGTGATGTTTAGTAATTTGATATTTTAAAGTCATATTAGTACTACTGGTGCATGAATGTTTATTTGTAAGTGTATTTCTTAGCCGAAAGAAATAAGCAAAAAAAAAAATAGTTAAGTGCATTGTAACTATAACTTAACCCAAAAGCCCAGTACAAAAAATATGACATCTTTATTTCTTATGACAACATCAAAACAGCATCAAATAAGCAAAAACAAAAATGCCACATGACAATCATAACTGAATGTTCAATGCTGAAGAATGAGGTTTAGTTGACTTCTATTAATTCAGCTTTGCAATAAAAAGTTAAAAAAAAAAAAAAAGCACAAACATTGGCATCAGCTTCATGATAGGAGGAGCAAAATATTTTGGCATCAATATTCCTTGAATAAAATAAACCAGAACAGCTCACATATTGTTTTTTTAATTGACAAAAAAAAATGTGATGAACAATATATATGTTTACAAAACATTTTAAAATGTCTTGGCTGGCTTTTCATATATGTATACAGAGTTGAGCTTGAAAATGATTAAAAGAAGGGTAAATCCAAACAATTTGGCAATTAACAGTTACTTAGCAACTGTTACACTGACAAAGAAACATTTTTAATGTTAAAAAAATCTAAAACTTTGTTCTTTATTATTGCTGAGTATTGGTGGGAAAGTGTAAATCAAAAAGGAAAATTTTAAAATGGTTGCCATTTTAAATGGATACATATTTTTATACCTAAGTATAACATTTGTAATAGAAGTACCAAGGAATCCAATGTTGCGTAAACAATTTAAGTACAAGGCATGGTGTTGACACAACAAGAAATCTAAAAGAATTTAACTAATATTAGACTAATGAAAATGTGCTGAAAATACAGAAAATACCATTAGATGGTTTAGCCAATAAAAACAATACCTGTTAAAGTTCTTTAAAAAAAACTTTATAATACATGTCAAGTTAACCAAAGCACCAACAACATCTACTTGTAAAAAACATTTATGGATGATAAAAGGACTGTAAAAAATGGATTTACTCAAATTGCAGACTATCCCTTTGTCATCTAATAGTTTTACATGAAAAATGTTCATAATCATATGTATGTACACTTCAATTAACATTTTATACCATAAAAGTGTGTAAAATGATATCCTGAATGTGTTTAATGGATATTGCAAACAGTAAAAATTTAAAAAGAGAAGAAAACTATTTTAGGGCTTACAAGAATGTTTTCCTGCTAATGTGCTATAAAATGATACAAATAACATCTTCAAATTTGTAGCTACTAAAATGGACCCGTTAAAATACAGTGTCCCACACATGCTTAGCTACACTAAACATATAAAGGGTGATACTACAAATTTCAGAAAATAAAACTGATTTTAACTATCTTAATCTAAGAAAGAACTGATATTTAAAATAAAAATAATCTAACATATACATGGAGACAGGTATTTTGATTGAATAAAAAACATCGTGAACATACATCACTGCTGAAAAAGTGAGATAAAAATAAAAGCCATTAATTTTTCATTAAATGAATTACTGTGCAATCACATCTATTACACCTGAGGCACTGAGAAGGGACTAGAAGGTGTCACCATTTAATCGTAAGTAAAATCGTACCAAAGCATTCACAACAATGGGGGAAAAGTGCCATTTGAACATTACTAAAAAAAAAAAGATGAAAGATTTTTGGACATGAATTTTTATGAGTTCTTGATCATCAAAAAGTGTATACAATCTTACAAATATTACAATAAATAATGTCTACCATAAAAGTATAATGTTACAACAACTACATCAAAACAACTTACACTTAAGTTTGAGTATAAAAGTGGATCTTTTTAATGTTAACATTTTTTAAAAATAGTATGTTATTAACAATGGGGAATCAGATTTAACAATGGAATGATCATGGTTCATGAACATTTTAACCATTTAAAATTAAAGCTCCATTAAAGAACTACTACCACATAACTGATATGATTATTAATTTTTTTGTAGATTGTACTTTATAAAAAATCAGTGGATTTTTGTTTGTTGATTACATTTTTTCAGTTAAATGTATGTAGAGCACCATTTTCACAAAACTGGTTGGAATTGTTGTAACATCTATGTCATGATTGGTCACAAAAATTATTAAATGCAGTTCTTTTTGGGTGCTGCAAGTAAATGAGACAAATCTTTTACTTCAATAAAGTTTGTTTAAAGCAGCAATAGTAGTGAAGCAGTGTAAAATAATAAAAAACTGTTTTTGTATTGCTGTTCCCTTTTAGAAAGTGTTTTTACCTTAAATTACATTTCTTCTTCTAAAAAATATCAGTCAAAATCATCAATATGTATGAGGTACAACTCAAGACACATGATAAAATTTTAGCTTTAAATGAAGTATAAAAAAATAAAATTTTACAGGAGAAAACTGTAAATAGAAAAAAAAAAACACACGACATTAGTATATATTTAAGATATAAAATCATGTAAACTGTGGTCTCTAAGCATGTCCTCTTAAAAATAATTACCAGGCTTACAAAATGCATTACAAACATTTTCAAACCACTGTAATTTCAGTTCATAATACCATATACATTGTCTTTAAGTTTATTCCAGGCTCATAAAACAGTATGAATAATTTCTAACCCAGTTTCACTTCACTAGACAAAAACCTTACAAAATCCTTAGAGATTAGGCATCTTCTGCAGATTTAAGCCTCTCATGTTCAGGACTAGCTGGTGGCTTATCCTCTGCCGGAACACTGACAGTTAAGTCTTGGTAAACACCAGCATTGCGAGCAGATGACATCTGAATTTGCATCTTTTTCTCCTTGTCCATCATTAATGATCTATAAATATTATAAATAAACAGTTTTTTCTATCAATTATATATATAGAGAGAGAGCCTATATATTGTAACAAGTATTTCTCTTAGGACACCAAGTTTTCAAAATTGATGTTTGGATAAAAATTTGAAAGGAATGAGTTTACAATTTTTTTTTAAATATGAGGTGCACTTACTGTCGCCTTCTCTTGAAAATGTAGACACCAACTACAACAGCAATGCATACAATCACAGCAATAACAGCTGCAGCTATAACAGCTCCTGAGAAAAAAAAATATTCATGACTTTTTAAGTTTCTTCACTTTCTTTAAGAAAAGAATAAAAAATTAAGTTCATTTTTGCTTACAATTTAAATCAATCTAAATTCCCACAGATTAAAGTAAGCTTTTTATGTTTACCTGTGTTGCCTTTGCTGGGACTATCCGCTTTGGATGTTGTGTTTGTTAGAATAGTTGTACCATTTGAACTTTCAGTTGTCGATGACACTACAACAATAGTATATGGTGGGTAGTGATTAGAACTAATAATAATCAGAGTAAACATTTATACAACAATTGCATTAAACATAATTGATGTGATTTCTACTTGTTAATATTAATACAGAAGCATAAACCAAATAGAATAATGTAAAGACCTACATCTATATGATTCATGATAAGTTTTAAAACACACAAAAAAGGATAGTGGTTCAGAGTGGATTTTGTTTTGGTTAAATCCCCAATGCATTAGAATATTGTTTGTGCAACATTTTTTTTTGAAAATAGAAAACTGAAAAAAGTAACTTAGTAAGGGACTGTAATCATAAAACATAAGAAACATGAGCAAAAGTGTAAAATAACGCTGTCAAAAAGTATGATCTCTAATACGTATTTGAAAGTATGATTGTCCATTTCTAACAAACCATTTTGAAATTGGTTTTTATTCGCAGATGTTTCACAAACCGCTGTAACTGAATAGTCATCCTTGATGTTAGGCCTATATATGGTAAATTATTATTAAAGAAAAAAATTAAAGTACACTTTTAATAAAAATGTAGGGCCTATTCAACAGGATTCTAAAACTTTTTATCGCTTTTGATGTTGAAGTGCAAATAAAATGCAAATAATTAACAACAATCATGGGATGTCAGTATTTTATTTTAATAAATACATACCATCATCACCTGAAGCTCTTTTATGAAGTTTTGAACAACTTGATAATGCCACTTCTGATACAAGTATAATGAGGCACATAAGCATAATTGATAAAAATGTCCCATAACCTTCCTTGTGATGCCTTCCTGATGAAATTCTTGAAGCCATTTGATTTATGCTCTTTAACCAAATCAAGCTGCTTTAAGGCAGTTATTATTTTGATTCACTTCTTGATGAGTAACTGTAGACAAAAAAAAAAAAGAATAATTGTATCTGTAGTCTAGTTTAAACTTTAATAAACAACAAATATCTTATGGACTAAGTGACACATAGTGGCATGATTGAGAAGTCCTTTGCCTTTTTTTGCGCCTTTTACAGCTTGAAGAGAAAAAATCTTTCATAAGGACACTTTGGTTCAAATCTAACTTATGATGACAGTTTTCATGCACTCTTGTCATACTGCCACAGGTTATTAAGTTAGTGGGAATTTGGAATAGCCTGCCATAACGAATTATCTAAATTTGAGTTATTAAATATTTATTTAGTTAAATAATAGAATCAAAATACTAGTAAATTCACATGAAAAAAGTCACTGAAACAAACAAGATGCAAAAAGGTAGGCTACACATTTAAAAAAAATTTAGATGTGGTGTAGGCCTAACTTAACTTTACTAGATCTACTACTTAGTCAATACTAGTCTAGAATAGCTTAGACTTTAGATTTTAGTTAGATCTAGAAATCTAGATCTAACTAAACTTTACTAAACCAAACTCCAAATCTATAACAATAGTTTCACTGTCATCTATCTATCTGTCAAGAAAAACATAGAGAAAACACAAGCAGAGTAAAAACTTTCATAGTAAAATGAAACGTGACGTCACATGGAGCATATAGTAGGAAATAGTCTAAAGCCGGGGGAGTGCACACAGTAATATGACATCATTGATTCACGAGTAAAAATTGAATTAAAAAGCCAATGTTGTCTAATCTTAAAAGTGGATTGCTTGAAGAGTTTCTTTCATACAATTCTTCGGGTAGGGGCGAAGCCCCACCCACGCGTAAGAACGTCTAAGCCGCCCTGCCCCCCCCCCAACTCAAAAGAAATGTCGTCATCGCTACTTTATAATAAAATTACCGCCTAAAAAGTCCCTCCCCCTAAAAAAACCAAATATAATTTATATAGAAAATATACTATACTTTTACCAGTGTCGGGCTCCCCCGCCCCGGATAATTTTATTCGCCTCTGCAAAAATTCAAGTGCCCCAACGGCAGAAAAAATATCTGAAAGAAACAATGTCTGCGAGAGTGAGGTTTATTGGCCAAAAGTAGGAAACGAGGTCTAAATTACAGAAGTAGGCTCTATCTTTAGTATGTTTGATCAACAAATACAATCAGTGTTTCTTTCAGACTTTTTCCTCCCCTGAGGGGGGGAGGTACTTGAAATTTTCAAGGGTGCGTGTGGACTAAATTTTCTGGCGGGGGGGGGGGGGGGGGGGAAGACAGACTGGTGAAGTATATTTTCTATATAAACTCTATTTCGTTGAATGGGACAGTAGACGTACTTTGAGGTGTGTGTGTGTGGGGGGGTGGCAAGTAGAGTTGCTTAAAACTTATTTAAAAGAAACTTGAAATGCGACTTTTGTCATGATTGAGATTAGTTGCAAGGTTTAGGAGTATGGCTACAACTATATTAAGTATCAATGTGCAGGCCTTATAGCCTTATATGAAGTAAACAAATTTTAAAATAACAAATCAGTTAGAAGAAACATGCAACAGTCTGACTGACTCAGACAAGTTGTGAGTCAAGTAAAAAAGTACTAAAGTTACAAAGTAGCCAAGCGACACACTCAAATACAATAGATAGTAGTGTGTAAGAAAAATACATAGATCTAGATCTACATAGTAGTACATACCCTTTTAAATTCTAATATTGAACTAAAATACAATGTTAATTTTATCGAAGAAAATGTAGATTCTAGAACAACAAAAAATCTATGGATCCTAAACCTATTAAACAGGTCTTTGTTGTTCACAAGGTGGGCATAAGAAAATTACGCTACAAGTATCCGGATGATGTCATATCCGGTTGAATGTTAGTCATTCTACGGCTGTAAAAAAAATAGGTCTAGGGTCCTATTGATTTTTTTAATTTAAATTGTCGATTTTCTCATTGGTATTTTAAAAAATAGAATTTGATAAAATTTAAAGAGTATTGAAAGTTAAATATTATAAAATTGAACAAAACACACATTACATATAATGTTTTTATCATTAGGTTAAGCCCGGGATGCTTAATACAAAAGTGAATTTCCGTTTTTAAAAATAGCCTATGAATTCAAATTTCCTATTTCAACATTCCAAGAAAATGACATTTGAACGCTATTTGGGAGGAATGGGGTTGAGAGTGTTAACATCATCTGCTGCACCGTCACAGATTGGCTAAACAGCATTGTTCATTTCACCATAATATTAAAATTATCTGAATACACAAATACGGTTCCTTTGCATAGATCTAATTAGGCATATATTTAATAAAAAAAAAGACTCCCCAAAGCTGTTATTTGCATGAACGCGGTTGGTAGGGGGGGGGGTGTGGTGAGGAACACACAAATACGGTTCCTTTGCATAGATCTAATTAGGCATATATTTAATAAAAAAAAAAGACTCCCCAAAGCTGTTATTTGCATGAACGCGGTTGGTAGGGGGGGGGGTGTGGTGAGGAACGATTAATACCTTGCACACCACTGTGTGAATGGATACAAAATAATACTCGTTGCTATTTAACTCCCCTTTAATAATAATTTAAAAGAAAAACAAATTTATGTTTGTAGTTACGTTGTTCGCTATCAAATGTAGGATGAGTGACCTTTGCGTCTTTTGTGTTTTTTTTTTTTTTTTGCCTTAGGTATCTTTTTGCTTTCCGTACTTTATTTTGCTGAGCACTATATGGAGGAGCTTAGTATATCGTCACAGGGTGTGGAAATTAGCAATATGCGTATTTTCTCTCGGTAGTGCTTATTTCAGCCAACGAGATACGCTGATACGCATGGTGCTTATATCCTCTCGCATCATATCGTGATAGAATATTATTTCATTAATACCCTATCCCTAATAACCTCGAACCTTAACTAAGATATGATGCGTTAAAATGACATGACTAATTAATGAGTTTAGTCTAAGCCTATACTAATAATTACAATTGGTTAATGAAATATGCATGTTGTGTGTGCAATGCAGGCGTTTTTTGTTAGCTTAGACATTTTTTATTATGGTTAAAGAAATAAGCAACACGTTTATTACGCCTCAACTCTGAGAGGGTACTTAAAAAAACAACACGGGCAGCGACGATTTAATTTATAGACTTTGTTATTTTATAGGCAGTTTACGAGTTTTTATTTATTTTAAAATGAAAATATTTCGATGTTAAAATCGAATCCCCATCCCCAAACAACAAGCGTCGATATTTTCACCAAGAATTTAGTTCAAAATTGTTTCCCTTTATTTGAGTAACTTCGCTTCACATGTTAACATGGGAGGTAACTATTCTATCTGCACAGCCAACCGTCTAATTCGTTTATATATATATATATATATTTCTCGCACTTATTATAATACAACGGGCCTTAGGTTTTAGATGGTGGCTTATCATTCAGTTATACAATGCTATGTGCAATATGGGTGGCCAGGAGCAGTGTATTATAACGGCCCCATATCACTCAAGTATGACCCCCACTAGAAGTCTGACGTTATTGTACATTATTCTCATACATATTTGTCACCTATACGCCTACTACAACGACAACACGATGTAATTTCTTTGTTTTAAATTTTTCTTGTGTGTTTGAATAAGGGTTTACTATGGCCACAGTAAACGTAATGGCGGACGATAGAAATTTAAAGTACATCAGAGATTAGAGCCTACACTGTTTTGCTTTTTTATAAAGGGAAATCATCAAACAATTATATATCAAATAGCTCACACAGAGCAGTGTCAGTATGGTACATTCCAGATCTATAAAGCTGCCAAAACACACACAAAATGGGAGGTAAAAAAAAATCCAGTAAAAAATCCAGCAAAAAGTCCAGTAAGAAGGCAGGTAAAAAGTCAGTTAAGAAATCTGGAGGCTCACGCAAGTCCAAGTCAGCAAAAAGTTCCCTTGGGTCAGCTAAGGCCAAGGCAGCGCCGGTGGACACGATGAGTCCAGCTGCCATGGAAAACTTGTATTTCATAGCTCATAATGCGCCAGGCGCGCTGGAGAAGCGGGGCTTTAGCGCTGAGTCAGGTGGGACAAAGAAAAAGAAAAAGGGAAGAAAAGGAAAGAAGAAAAAGAAATAATTTTAATTGTCAGATAGTTTTCTAGGTTTGTTAGTTTTTTTGTAAGTTTGTTACGATTACATTTTGTTCACTTAAAAGCAGCTGATAAGCACACCAATAAAGTTCCCCATCTCCCCTAAATTCTAAAAATATATGTGCCTTTATAGAAGAAGTTTTTTTTCTTGCCTCAATTTTCAATTATTAAAAAACATAATAATAAAGAATTTCATAAATGTGTATTGATCCTTACCCCACCCCTGCCCATAGGGTCTGACCTCATGCTATGTAGGCGTGGTACATGTAAGTGTGGTGTGGGGCAGTGGCCAGATCTCATCTACTTCCTGAACCTTTGTCCACTAAGGGCATGAGAAAAAAGTTTTAAATCCCATGTTGTTGTTTAAGTTGTAGGACAAACCATTGAGTCTCTGAAGATGTTAAGTCTAGCAGCATTACAATGTGTGTTCTAGCTGTGTATAGTTCAAGTAATAGCATTGAGTGCATTAGTCGCCTTCACTGTACAGTGTTTTATATAGGACTTTAAATTTTGAACCTTTTCCATCAGGCTAAAACTGTTCAATTGTTTATGTTGTACAACCAGAGTGTTGATAACCCTGGCTGTTTTGCTCCACCAGTTGTGCCAATGTGTAAACCAATGTTTGAAGACACAGAAATCTTGTCCCATGTTGCGACCATTGTGAAAAATGTACACCAATCTCCCTCAGTTTAACGTGATAACACAAAGATATCCCATATTTTTTAATTGGTATATGTGACGCCGTCCAACTTTCCAAATGCCAAAACATTTTTTATAACCTGTGTATTTTATTTATACAATACAACATAGTTGATGTCAACAAAAAAAAAAGTGTTTGAATAAGGGGCCATCCATAAATGATGTCAAGCTTTTTTGGACGATTTTTACCTCCCCCACCCCTCCGTCACGCATCGTCACAAAAAGCCAGACCCCCCCCCCCTAAAATGACGTCATACCTAAGTCTACAAACACCCTCATAATTGCAGTTGAATTTTTCTTAAAATACGTTATTTTTTCCAAAATCTTGTCTGAACTCGGCCAACATCGAGTATTTTAATCAATTCCTTTTAGTTTATGAAAACAGTTTTCTAAAACGCGAAAAAACACTAAAATTCGTTTTCTAACATTGCGTTTTTTATGATGGAAAAGTGTGACGTCACACCATCTGAACCCCCCCCCCCCTCCTACCCTTTCCCTCATTACACACCGTCACAAAATTACGGACACCCCTCCCCTCCTACGAGTGTGACGTCATTTATGGACGACCCCTAAGAATAATATTAGAACTCCTGGTCAAATTACCTCATATTGCTAGTTGATTCCTCTCCGACTTGTCTGTTGAAGTGGAATCTAGCAATCCGTGTCTTCTATATTTTAACCGACAAATTTCTTTCAACTTTTTTTTTTACCCCATGACAAAGCAGCAGGTAATATGTTTTAGCTGATGTAGATGTGTAATAACTTTGTTAAAATTAATTGCGTTGCTAGTATCTGGGTGCAAAAAGCGAAAATACGCAATGAAGGCCCTTGGTTTATGCTGACAGCAATGACATCAAGATTAATTTCTTTGAACAACAAAAACCCAAAAAGTCTTGTTATTGCATTAAAGTTTGTAGAAATTACAAAATTTTACTTTAAAAGAATGTTAGGTTATTAAGATACCCCCCACCCCCACCCCCGCTTTCAAGTGCTACCGAAGCAAAAAAAATCTTTATTAAGAAAGAATTTTTAAAAAGAGACCGAACTATGCCTATAGAGTATAGATGTATTGACCAGTTTTGAAATTAAGTTTTAGCAGTAATTTATCTGCCCAAGTCCGCAAAAAGCCCTATATGTTTTCTTCCCATAAAGTTTTAGGATCCCGTATAAGCCCCCACCCCAACCTAACGGGTTAGTAACGAAAATCTTTTGTTACAAGTTTAAGACTTGTGATCGTAAAATTGCTTTATGACACCGTGCTTGTTATGGATTTATCGAGTGCTTAATTTATGTGAGTGGCGATGAGCCAGTCTGTCGGATATCTGCGTCGTCGCATGGTAGAGTTAACTTTATCCCTGCATTCTTAAGTGCGTCGTCGCATAGTAGAGTTAACTTTATCCCTGGATTCTTGAGTGCGTCGTCACATGGTAGAGTCAACTTTTTTAATCCCTGGAATCTTGAGTGCGTCGTCGCTTACTTGAGTTAACTTTATCCCTGCATTCTTGAGTGGGTCGTCGCATACTAGAGTTAACTTTATCCCTGGATTCTTGAGTGCGTCGTCGCATGACAGAGTTAACTTTATCCCTGGATTCTTGAGTGCGTCGTCGCATGGTAGAGTTAACTTTATCCCTGGATTCTTGAGTGCGTCGTCGCATAGTAGAGTTCTTTATCCCTAGATTCTTGAGTGCGTCGTCGCATAGTAGAGTTAACTTTATCCCTGGATTCTTGAGTGCGTCGTCGCATAGTAAACTTTATCCCTGGATTCTTGAGTGCGTCGTCGCATAGTAAACTTTATCCCTGGATTCTTGAGTGCATGATCTAATGGTCAGTCGAAAGTCGGCGTTTGGCCAATAACTGGATTCACACTTTGGTTTCGGAGAATTTATCGCTACACAATTTGATACAGCTAGTTGATGTCTACATTCAATATATTTGATTGATGATTGTACGAGGATTTTGATTTATGGGTTTTAAAGAATTATTTGGTTTTGAATGTATTTTAAAGATTTGAATTCGATGACATTTTAGGCCTAATGTATCTAACATTCATCATCTTTTCCCCTCAGTGCCTAGGACATAATGGGCCGTCACTGAAAGTTATTTCCTTCTTTGACAGTTCATCAAGAAAAGATTGACTCTTGTCAGTTTTTTAATGGCTGTGCGTCTTTGTGTCTCTATATTATAGGCATTCCGTATTTCCTTTTTCTAGCGATTTCCAGTTTAGCACCGTTCCGGTGATCGCATCTTGCTTCATTCTTACAACATAGACCATTCCAGCCCCATCTTTTTCGATCATTTCTGAAACAGATCGCAGTTTAATTTCTCTAAGTAACCTATCGTATGAAATGGTGTTGGAATAGTGGATGCCTTTTATCCGTCGAAAGCACTGAGTTTGGAAGGAATCCAGTATCTCATATTATTCATGCATAAACCAGTGAGCAGTTGATAATTTTGATTAATAGCTCGTCAAATTTAATGGGAAAAAATGTGCCTTACTTTTAAATTATTTAATTTCAATTTAACCTTATTTAGCTCTTTACTCTATAAAAAGAAGACTGTTTTTATTCATAGAGAAATATATTTTATTGGCTGTGTGAGTTTAGATGAGAGATTACAACATTCGTCTTTCAGTCTCCACGACAATCCTCTTTTAGCACTGACATGACGCTTTTACCATGGTTACGCAATCGTGTGTCCAGGAACATTTCCATGCTAAAAAAGCTTATCTTGTTATTGCTGGCAGCATTTCTATTTGGCATTGCTTCTAAAGCGCAAGTCTACACACACCGTTATTTAGACAATGACCAGCTTCACGTGGACGTCCGAGCTACGGAAACACCGAGACAAGATGTGCCAATGTTCAAAATGGATGACACCCTGGCATGGGGTGAAATGGCACCGACGGTTGGGTTAACTCAAAAACCAAATTCGCTGAATCGCAGAGAAGATCCGAAACAAAAAAACAATATTTCCCAGTTATACTTTTTTACCCCGCCTCCCGGCGAGCTCCCGACCAGACGATTCCCCCAGTGTGTGATCATTGGTTTCGGCAAATGTGGGACCCGCGCGCTCTTGATGTTCTTGAGCCTGCACCCTAACATCGCTGCGCAGATGAAAGAAATGCATTTCTACACCGTGGACAACCTGTTTGAACGAGGCTACGAGTGGTATCGTAATGAAATGCCTGTATCTTACAGGTCAGCTAATACAGTAGATTTTCTTTGCATACGTCAGCTAAAATAGCACATTTTCTTAAACATTCATAGTTTACTTATAAACATAATAATCAAAGCCTTATAAATCCGTATTAAAAAGCGGAGCTGGGGGGTCGTGATTGCAATCAAATTGAGGTTTGAGTATTTACGTATAAGCTAAACAAGTATAGCTTAGGGGCTCCGCTTTTTTAAAATCCCCCAATTATTTTTTTTAAACTGCGAAAGGCATTTTCCCCCAAATGTATTTGTTAACATTTATTTTTAAATTTTTCTTCTTTTTGTTTCCCGAATCACGCTGGAGGCTGGGTTCTCTTTTCATTACAGTTACAAGCTTTTTTTGGGAACTGACAAACAATATCTAGACATATAAAGAACACCCATATTGAAAACAGATAAGGCCCTATAAAATCAAAACCCTGGGTCTTATGGTTTCAAACCAGCATGTACCTAAGCTACTATTAATAAACGTCCATCATTTGCCCTTTTACTTTAAAGAAGTGTAACCATCTTTGGTCATCACAGATAGTCATTTTTATCTTTACTATAACTATAAAAAGAGACATGTTTGCTTACGTGAATTAAATATAGCCTAAAGTTAACGCATTCATTAAAATTAAGTTAATTACCTTACATTTGATTAACAGCAACCAGATTACCATAGAGAAGTCACCTGACTACGTGTTGTCTACAAAGGCGTTGAATGAAATCCACAACCACTTTTCGAACATCAAGCTCATAGTCCTTGTGAGAAACCCTGTAGATCGCCTGGTGTCTGACTACCTTCAGAGGTTTGTGGATGTTTACTTTAAATATGGTACCCCTGTGAGAACCCTTGTTGATGGCTGACTACCTACAGAGGTTTTTGAATGTTTACTTTAAATATGGTACCCCTGTGAGAACCTTGTTGATCGTGTAATGGCTGACTAACTGCAGAGTTTTGTGAATGTTTACTTTGGTACCCCATGTGACAGAGGCGTAGCGACCCTTCCCGGCGCCCGGGGACAAACTTTCGATCTGCACCCTCCCCCTCAAGCTTTCGATTTGCACCCCCCTCTCAAGCTTTCAATTTATTTTTCCAACCCATTTTGGCGCCCCCTAATTTCGGCGCCCGGGGACATATGTCCCCCCCCCGACCCTCCCCCATCGCTACGCCTCTGCTATGGGAGAATCCTTGTTGATCTTGTAATGGCTGACTGCAGAGGTTTGTGAATGCTTACTTTAAATATGGTACCCCTGTGAGAACCCTTGTTGATCGTGTAATGGCTGACTACATGCAGAGGTTTGTGGATGTTTACCTTAAATATGATACCCCTGTGAGAACCCTTGAAACATTTCTGGCCAACTCACTTCATAGGTTTGTGAATATATACATTGAATATGGTACTCTTGTGAGGATCCTTGTTAATTATTTGGATTTCGACTACTTACAGAGGTTTGTGAATGATTCTATTACAAAATTAAATAAGGCGATAACTTTAGAGCCCTCGTTGGAGTTTTGGTGTCCGACTTCATGGGGGTCCACAAAAAATATTTCTCCGATTTCAGTAGTGCGTAGGATAATAGTGTAAGTACGACTCTATCCCAGACAACAGACAGTATGGTCCAGCGTTAGAGAACACGACTCACGAGTGTTGCCCACACTGTCCCTTCGGTTCCCAAACTCGAGTGCGTCCGTTTGGTGTTCTACCCAGCTCTTTTTGATACCATTTTCTATTTGGGGAGAAGTGTAATATCAGTTTTACTTTAGGGGCTTGCCAATATATAATGCAGTGTTTCTTCCAGACTTTTTTCTCCGGGGGGAGGGGGGGGGCGGACACTAGTAAAAGTGTATGTTTACTATATAAAATCCATCTCGTTCGGGGGGGGGGGGGCGGTAGACTTTCTTTGGGGGGCGGAGGTCCCCCCCCCCCGAAGAGATGCCTGGAAGAAACTCTTATATAACTGTCACACTACAGGGGGTATAGGTCGGTTCAAACATTTGTGAAAACGTTTTATGAGTTAGAAGGGGAATGGGTTCAGTAAGTGTGACGCCCCGCTTTTGCATTTCAAAAGTAGTTTTTTCAAACTCAAGACTTAGCACTTCTTTTTACTTAAAAAAAAAGTTTTATTAAATTAAAATGATCTAATATAATTCATACTACTGATGAAATGTGGCTTAGGGGTCGTGTATAAATGACGTCACACTCGTAGGGCGGAGGGGGTCCGTAATTTTGTGACGGTGTGTGATGAGGGGGAGGGGGGGGGGGGTCAGATTGTGCGACGTCACACTTTTGCATTATTAAAAAAAACAATGTTAGAAAACGAATTTTAGACGTTATTTCGCGTTTAAGAAAACTGTTTTAATAAATTGTAATAGGAATTGATTAAAATACTCTATTTTGACAGAGTTTATACAAAATTTTGGAAAAATATCGATGTTTTAAAAAACGTTCAACTGCAATTTTGAGGGGGGGGGGGTGGGTGTAGGCTATTTGACGTCATTTTAGGGTGGGGGGGTCTGGCTTTTTGTGATGATGTGTGACGGAGGAGAGGGGGGGGGGGAGTAAAAGTCTTCAAAAAAGCGTGACGTCATTTATGGACGACCCCTTAGCTCGATAGATAATCTGAAATTAAAATGGATGGAAGAGGGGGGAGGGATTGAAATAAACTTTTTGTGACTTGTGACGATGGGGAAGGGGGTGGTGGTAAAAGCTTGACGTCATTGAATGAGTCTTTATATATTTACATTTTTGTTGTGTCTTTTTCTGTGCAGATACCGGTTAGTCAATGTAAATAAAAGACCACCCCTTACCAAGATGTACCTCAACAGAATGACTAACAGATTTGACCCCAACATTGATTCGGTGAATCACGGTGTTTACCACAAACACTTGGCTCCGTGGTTCAAAACGTTCTCACGTGACCTGCTGCTCGTGCTTGACAACGAGCGTCTGACGAAAGATCCTCTCCGGGTTATTAAAAAAGTGGAAACTTTTCTGGGATTACCCCATGTTTTAACGAAAGAAAATTTTTATCTGAACGAAACCTGGGGTTTCTACTGCTTAAGAAGATTTGAGCCGAGGGCTAGGCCGAGATGTATGACCGAATTCAAAGGCTGGAAACACCCGCCATTGCCAGAAGCAGACGAGATGATGCTGTACAGCTTTTACAAGCCTCACAATGAAGCGTTGTTCAAACTGATTGGAGAGAAATTTGATTGGGAAAAAAAGAAAGACTTTATTGAACTGTAGTACAACAACAAGCCCCACTATGAAGCGCAGTGGCGTAGCGAGGTCGGGTGTCACCCGGTGCGGCACTCAATGGTGTCACCCCCCCCCCAGAGGCATAGCGACCCTTCCCGGGGACAAACTTTCAAATTTTCGATTCGCACCCCCCCCCCCTCAAACTTTCAATTTGCACCCCCCCTCAAGTTTTTCTCTATATATTTTGCTATTTTTTGACTTGGTGTCACCCTCCTAAATGGTGTCAGCCGGTGCGGTGCGGTGCGCCCCCCGCCCCCTCCTCGCTACGCCTCTGATGAAGCGCTGTTCAAACTGATTGGAGAGAAATTTGTTTGGGGAAAAAAGAAAGACTTGATTGAACTGTAGTAAAACAACAGTGTTGTTTTACTACACTCAGGGGCGTAGCGAGGGGTGGGGGCGGGGGGTGCGGACCGCACCGGGTGACACCATTTAGGGGGGTGACACCAAGGCAAAAAATAGCAAAATATATAGAGAAAAACTCGAGGGGGGGGGGGTGCAAATCGAAAGTTTGAGGGGGGGGGGGTGCAAATCGAAAACTCGAGGGGGGGGGGTGCAAATCGAAAGTTTGAGGGGGGGGGGGTGCAAATCGAAAATTTGAAAGTTTGTCCCTGGGAAGGGTCTCTATGCCTCTGGGGGGGGGGTGACACCATTAAGTGCCGCACCGGGTGACACCCGACCTCGCTACGCCACTGACTACACTCACCAACTAGATCTATTAGATTACTAAATATATCTTTAAAATTAAATCATTTTGAAATTTATATTCAGAACATATTAATAAAAGTCTGGAGTTGATACATTACTTGACTTTAAAATCACGTTTTTTTTTTTCTCTCTCTACCTTTTGTATAAAAATGTTTCTTCGTCCTTGCTGTTATACTAAATATATAATAATAGTTTCTCTGCGTCAATGGTTTTCAAACTGAAAAGCATCCCTTCCTGCGCAAAAGCATGGTCTAGTGCCAGTGGAGTTGCGAAAAAATATAAAAGAAAAGTACAATAAAAATATAAATTAATTAATTCTTTTTTTTTAATGACGTCATGCTCATATGTGTGGAAGAATGGGGGAGGGGGGGGGATTTTTGTGATAGTGTGTGATGGGGGTGGGGTGGGGGTGTATCAGATAGTGTGATGTTCCGCGTTGGGTTTTTTAAAAAGTAATGTTAGAGAATGAATTTTAGCCATTTTTTTATGTTTTAGAAAACTGTTTTTATAAATTGTAACAGAAATTGATTAAAATACTCTATGCTGATCGAGCTAGATCAATATTTTAGAAAGAAATCAATGGGGAGAGGAGGGGATGGTAAAAATCACCAAAAGATCGTCACGTAATTTATGGAGGATGACCCCATGGCTATATTTTAACATCATAACTGTGAGGTTGTTTTTTTTCGGATTCTCAGATTAAAATGTTGGCGATGTAGACATGTCGACTATGCGATCCTCGCCATAATATCTTTGCTGATTTTAAAGGTTAGGGTTCATCCATGAATGACGTCACGCTTTTTGGGACGATTTTTACCTCCCCCCCCTACGTCACACATCGTCACAATAAGCCAGCCCCCCCCCCTAAAATGACGTCACACCTCAGCCTACACCCCCCCCTCAAAACTACAGTTGCATTTTTCTTAAAACATCGATATTTTCCCAAAATCTTGTCTGAACTCTCTCAACATAGAGTATTTTAATCAATTCCTATTACAATTTATTAAAACAGTTTTCTAAAACGCGAAATAACGGCTAAAATGTGTTTTCTAACATTGCTTTTTGTTAATGCAAAAATGTGACGTCCTACCATCTGAACTCTCCCCCCCATCCCCCTCATCACACACCGTCACAAAATTACGGACCCCCCCCCCCCCTACAAGTCTTAGGTCTTCTGACGTTACGACAGCTGATTGTTTTAAAATGACAGCAGTCAAACATTTCTTGAGCACCGAAACATCCAGGGGGGCGAAATTTGTGCTAAATTTATTCTAAAGTTGATACTTTGATTAATAATATCTCGGGAGTTTTGCGACAAGTTTGTAAATCAAATGCATATTTTACAATAAAACATGCTACAGGTGATGTTCATATAATGTTAAAGGTTCGATAAGTTGATAAGAAAATGATATGGTTTTTTAAATTTAAATAAATAAATGTAAATTAAAATATTTAATAATTAATATAATAATGTATAACATAATTTTTCATTAAATGTAGAGACAGTACAATATAATAAAATTAAAATTAGAAGTTTTACGTTGAGGAGTTAATTAACTCCCATTTATATATTAAATTTAACCAAGGGAGGCAACCTTAAAATTGTTCCCAAAAGTAAAAAAAAAATAACAAAAAATTGGTAAAACTATAAAAATGATGGTAATTGTTTGTAATTTTTGACCAGTCATTGATATTTAATTTTTTATTCAACCATATTGATCTAACTTTTTTACTTTTTAGATCTTAAATTTTCATTTGAAGCAGTAGAGTTACTACATACTTAACATCTGAAAGTTAGTTATGCTTAATCAATATTTTAGTACGTTGCCTACTTTCTTCCATTTACAAAAGCCTGCCAAACATGCTCGTCAACTGAACACTGGACCAACCGCTGTCAAACTCTCAACTTACAATCAACGCTCAGTAATCAAACACCAACTCAATCTACACTACAAAAAACAACGTCACCCACCCAGCCAGCACCAACACCAAACAGCCAACAAGCAGCACCGTTAGCCAAGCCACCTCCAACAACAAGCAGCCAACTAGAAACGCCATCCGCCCAGCCAGCACCATCACCAAGCAACCAACAAGCAGCACCGTTAGCCAATCCACCTCCAACAACAAGCAGCCAACAAGCAGCACCATTAGCCAAGCCACCTCCAACAACAAGCAGCCAACAAGCAGCACCGTTAGCCAAGCCACCTCCAGCAACAAGCAGCCAACAAGCAGCACCATTAGCCAAGCCACCTCCAACAACAAGCAGCCAACTAGAAACGCCATCCGCCCAGCCAGCACCATCACCAAGCAACCAACAAGCAGCACCGTTAGCCAATCCACCTCCAACAACAAGCAGCCAACTAGAAACGCCATCCGCCCAGCCAGCACCATCACCAAGCAACCAACAAGCAGCACCGTTAGCCAAGCCACCTCCAACAACAAGCAGCCAACTAGAAACGCCATCCGCTCAGCCAGCACCATCACCAAGCAACCAACAAGCAACGCTCAAAAACCCGATCAACCCAGCCAAGCCGCCAAGTATACCAACAACACCTAGCAAACAAACATGCGCAGCAAGGTCGGAATCAGAAAAACCATCTGCATCATCAACCCTAAAAACGAACACTCTGCTCTTGTTCTCAGATATGGACATTACTACAACCTTCAAAAGGAAGAAGGAAGATAGCCCCACAGAAGAAAATAAAATAACAAAAAGTAAAAAATTAATTCGTGACTTCAAACACTGCAGGTTCTGCTTAGAACAATGTAAATCATCCAGGGAAAGGGAAAAACACGAACGAAGTATTCACTACAGATGCTTACAGTGTGATCTTTGTGCAGACAAAGGGCACTACCCAGACATATTATCACACTTTGCAGAAAACCATCAAGAAGAAACGATGTATGACTGTAGAGATTGTAACTTATCCCTCCCACTAGAGAGCATGAGGGCACATACAAGTGTACACCATAAGAAAAAATAGGTATCTTAGACGTTTTGTAAACGCTTATGTATAATTAAATGCAATGCCATGTATTGAACTATTTTAATATTTCATGTATATAATCATGCAACCTTCTCTTACTGCCTCCCTGCGCGAAAAGGGTAGACAGTAAGAAGGCAAAAAAAAAAAAAAAAGACTCAAACAAAGAAGTAAGGTAGATCTATTCCCAGGCTAAATCAAAGAAACAAAGAAACTGACATAATTATAACAGTCAATCCGGCTTGCGTGCATTGATTGCAGAGGCGTAGCGACCCTTCCCGGCACCCGGGGACAAACTTTCGATTTGCACCCCCCCCTCAAACTTTCAATTTGGCGCCCCCCTAAGGTCGGCGCCCGGGGACATATGTCCCCCCCCCCCCCACCCCCCTCGCTACGCCTCTGAGGGATTCTGTTGCACTCAAAACTGTTTGTGAATCGCTTGATCTAATATATAAAGTTTATTATTAAAAAGCCTGGCTGCATAATCTAACTGCAATTCAAACGGCTGTATCCATGCAATGCAAAGGGAAATGGGAGGGGAGAGGGGGTGGGGGAGGAATTAAAGCAGTACGTCTGCACTGAGCTTACACAGGAAACAGAGTTTGACCCTTTTTAGGTCTAGGCCTATTTATTACTAGATCTAGATCTAGACTCTAGGCCTATTTGATGTTATCTCACACTGACACTTGACAGCATAGGCCTAGTGTGTGCCGAATTCGCTCATTGAATAATTTTTGCTATTGAGCGGTACACACAACTATTGTGCCGGTGAAAACATTGCGGACAAGATGCAAGACGATAAAGTACTGCGACAAGGTTGGGTTAATAATAAATATAAATAATAATGTTATAAATTATAGACTATTTATAATCTTCTTCTTCAATTAGTGTTGGAAGTGGAAGGGATCCCCCCTCCAACACAATTCAATTGACATTTAACTCTAGATCTAGATCTAGATCTAGACATCTAGATCTAGATCTAGAAAGCTAGTATTTCAGTCTGTCCCCAGCTAACGAGCCTCATCTGCCCGAGGGTTCGAACTCGAGATTTTTCGGTTTTCGACCCCTAAATGATAATAATAACATTAATTTATATAGACCTAGATTCTAATTAAATATGTTGTAGAATCTAAGATTAAATATAAATAATTAGAGTCTAGCTAGAGAATCTAGATCTAGAACTGGTAAAATCTTAGTTTAGCGTCGTAAATTCGGCCAAAACTAGTAATGTGGGAGAGAGTGAATTAATGAATATGTCATTAAATATGAGTATATTTTCGTATATTTTGATAAAGTATTATAGATAATTGAATAATAGATCACCATTGATGGTTAAATCAATTTAAATATCCTGAAATTAATTTTTATCAACCCTGTTCGAGATAGTAAATTTGCTATTAAAAACAGCAGCCATCTTAAGAAAATGTTATTTAGAGTAGCTTCCCTTTCATTTCTATTCGTATAAAAATGTATTTAAATATGATCGTCTTGTTGTATAGTCCATATAACAAAGCATTTTTTTTTTAAAATGTGAATTTCCTAACAAACAACTTTATTAATTCTAGAAGCATTGTGAGATGCAACTTGTATCCATGTATTAAATCACGTTTTTTTAAACTAATGTTTATTTGATCTTACTATTACTAAATAGTTGTGAGTTTTATCTTATTGTTTTAATGTTCACTTTTTTCATTTCAGTTTCAGGTTTTTCTTTTCATCAATAATAATTATTAGTAATTCTATCGTAACTTATGACATTTTTTTTTACTTCTCTTTACCTTAATTAAACCCCAACCTCCGTCATATTTTTGTCGTCAATGTCACATCAAGTCATAATGTAAAAAATTACGCTTCACTCTGCCTTATCTAAGATCTCTAACCATAATTTTGACAACATTAAATGTTTGTCATCATTTATATATACAGAGATACAAAATGTATTATCCACCAGCTTCCCTCGTAAAACATCATCTAAAACAATGAGCCAGTCCACCCCTTAAGTGCGTGTTGTCATTATGGTCGATCGCAAGTCTCCACCTGCCAGACACATGTTGGTTATCCTTTGTTGTCAAATTGTCAATATCAAGTACACAAGTGAGTGATATGGGGTTGTCCATAAATGATGTCACATATGATTTGCTACGGGAGTGAGTGAAGATTTGTGACGTCAACTCAGGCGGCTTTGCAATTTATGACGTGTCGGTCTCATGAAAGGAGGTGAACGGGGAAAAATACCTAGATGGTTAATGGAGAACCTCTATAATTCTTTGTTCAATCAAAATAACGATAAATAAGCATTAGTATACGTATACCTTGCTTAAAACGAATCATCACAAATGTTGCAAGCCTGCTAGTTTAAGGCATTCGGCAAACCGGCCGCAACACATTATCCCCGTCAAAAAGGTTTGCCACCAAATGCCTGCCGACGAATAAGCCACGTCTAATGCGGGGCGTTAGGAATACGGCCATTAGCATGGGCCGTGTTAGAGCACCAGTAGGCTATCGCGCTTTGTAAGATGACGTAAATACTTAAATTCAATTTCGCTAAACTGCGCGAAAATTTAGTAATGTTCCATCGTTTGAGGAAATTTATTTTCTTGGACTTAAACTTAAATTGAAATATCATGTTGACTGTCTGGCTCTTAATTTCCGAATATCACTTTTAATGTATCAAGATTCAGAACTATAATTTACTTTAATATAAGTGTCATCTTATCGTTTATTGTGGTTTTTATAAAGCGCAGAGCAGCTACAAAATCGGACGGCCATCCTGTTTTCACCAAGCTTCTTTTGGAGCTTAATATAGGTAGTCCAGTTCTATACGGTGTGAGCTTAATACATATTTAAAGGGCCGAAAGTATCAAGACAGCAAGCTTGCAGAAATAACTACGTACGTTTAAATGGACAAGTGATAGATGTGTTAGGGGCTGTTTAATGAACACCAACTTATGTAATCAAACTAAACGTCGCAAAAGCGTCAAAAAGGCAGTGCTTGTTTTTTTTTCTATAAAATTAGCTTAACGGTCGGCGGTACCGCTAATTGACGTCACGTGCGAGCGTTGACTCGGTGACGATGTGCTAAGTGGGGGAATGAAAAAGGTAGGATTCAAGAAATGCGACTCGGCAAGCTTTTTACATTTCTTGACCCTTCTTAATAGTTCTTTCGTCCCCACTGAGAAAATGGATCACCAATGAATGACGCGTCATACTTCTACAGCTGGTCTTTCCCCCACAACCATCCCGTTTTCACGAGAAAAAAAACCTGACCCGTCTCCAAAATCACATCGCTGAGTTCTACTCAACCTCTCCCCACCACAAATCACAATTTCTATCTGAAACAATATGTTCATATGTTTGTTCTGTAATAATGCACGCTGTCATTACTATCTTAAGAGCGACGTCATTTATGAGCGATCTAATATTGATTTGCTTACTGCAAATAAAGTGTTTAAAAGTTCGACCTCCCAACAATTTTTATGGTCTTGGATGCACACTATTAAGTCTGATAAGGTCTATTAGTCATTCATGTCAACTATATTGAAAAAAAAAGAAAAATTACTATACAGGGGGTCATCCATAAATGATGTCATGCTTTTTTTGACGATTTTTACCTCCCCCCTCTCCCCTCCGTCACACGTCGTCACAAAAAGCCAGACCCCCCCCCCCCTAAAATGACGTGACACTTCAGCCTACAACCCCCCCCCACCTCAAAATTGCAGTTGAATTGTTTTTAAACAGCTATATTTTTCCAAAATCTTGTCTGAACTCTGTCAAAATAGAGTATTTTAATCAATTGTTATTATAATGTATTAAAACAGTTTTTTAAAACGCAAAATAACGTCTAAAATTCGTTTTCTAACATTGCTTTTTTAAAATGCAAAAGTGTGACGTCGCACCATCTGAACCCCTCCCCCTCATCACACAACGTCACAAAATTACGGACCCCCCTTCCCCCTACGAGTGTGACGTCATTTATGGACGACCCCCGGCATATATTAAAACAATACAAAACAATCATATTAAACCACAAAATCAACACAAAAGACATGCGAATAGACAATTTATTGTTTTTTAAAACATGGCCGCTGCTTGTATTTACTCATTGTTGTCTCGAACGGGGTAGTTTAAAGTTTATTCCAGGATATTTATGACTGGTTTGGTCTTGGATTGTGATTTGTTATTCAATTATCTGTTATATTATGTAAAATATGACATAAATATGGCCAAATGAAAGAAATATTCATTAGTTACCTTCATCGCACATTACTAGCTACGTTGGAATTTACGACGCTAAACTAAGATTTTACCCTAGAACTTACTTACTTAGGACTTAGTGAATAGAGATTAGTAGAGAATGAGAATGATTTATAAGTCTTAAACTTAAGAGATCTAAGACTTTTTGTATTACAGAATGTCTGAGAATGTTAAACCACCTTTTAAAGCTCATCACAATTCTTCATAACAGTGGATACATGTAGATTTCGATCTAGATTAGATTCTAGGCCTATTTAAAATACTATTTTAGTATTTTTTTTTAAACTTAAAAAATGTATGGGATAGCCTACAGTCCTACAGCCAGGATGGGCTAGAAAAAGTAAATAGGCTAATAAAATTAATATTAATGAGACTTTAATCCAAAACTAGAAGTACTGATACAAAATAGCAAAACAAAACATCTTTTAACAAAAATTGCTTTATTTTAACTTTAAGGTGTGATTCAAAATTTGGAAAGCTGGGTCAACAAACTGGAATGTGGAGGCGATGTTGAGAAGCAGCACCTCTTCAAGAAACGATTCCTCGACAGGCTCAGGGTATCCCCTATAGCCACTGATACAGAGGACGCTAACAAGCAGCACTATGAAGTTCCAACAGAATTTTTTGTTTCGGTACATATGTTTGTTATCTGTTCTGATAAAAATTTGTACATGTTCAGTTATTTTTTAGGCTAAAGTTCAACCCAACAGCTAACTTATCTTAAAGCATAGACTTTAGTCTTTAGATGGTGGAGTGGAGGGGAAAGGTCAAAACATTGGTCGACCTAGTTTATTTTAGTACAGGAAGGTCATAAAAAATCAAACCCACCCACCTGTCTTGAGTATGGGTATCTATTAAATTCAAGGCAGTTTCAATGTGTAGGATTGAGAATAAAATAAATTGTAGAGAAAAATATAAAAAATGTTTAAAAACATTTTGTACTATAATGCAAATGTAGGGTGCTATTACCTAACTCCTCAAAGTAAATTCCAGGCGTTGTGTAGCTCTGTTGGCTCCAAACGTTTGTGTGTGGTGTGTCATCCTCTGTGCCATTTTCAGAAAAATGTCATAAAGCACTCAGGGGAGCCAGTTTATATACAATTGCATGTTCTTTCTAAAAGTATTTTCCATGTCAATTTGCTATTACCATTATAGTGTCACATTAAAAAAAAATTCTGCAGGACACATGCAACATATTATCCAAGTACTTCATGTGTTCTTTTGTTTAGTAACCTTAGTTGTCAATTAATCTGCCTTCTAAATTCATTTATATTTTTTTTATTATCTGCTTAATTTTTTATGTATTTATTTTACATGTTTTTGTCTTCTATAAGTGATAATTTAAAGTATTATACGTCTAAAATTAATTAGTTTTTCTATTTTAAGTAAATTGTAAATAACTCCATAATTTGGAAGTATTTCTATATTTTCTCTTTGGTATACTGTATCATATACAGATATTTAATTGTATTGTTTTAGGTCTTGGGAAAAAGACTGAAATACAGTGGTTGCATTTGGCCCAAGGAAGTAACTAAACTTGATGAAGGTAAATAGTAATGGAAATATATGCACAAAACACCAATTATTGTGATACTTGCTAAAATCCAAGTGAAAAATGCAATTTTGTTCTTGTATTTTTTATTTAACATCCATTTCTGTGGCTTTTCGCCTCATGGAGGGGTTTGGCCTTGTTCACCACTTTTTTCACTCAGACTTTGCTGTCTTTTTCTTCCCTCTCTGGACTCTCCATCATCTTTCTGGTGATAAACACTGACATCATTTGATCCATCCATCCTTACTTTTTGTAGCTGAAGATGCCACGCTAGCGCTTTACTGTGAAAGAGCTAAAGTTGAAGATGGCCAAACTGTTATGGTAAATAAAATATTCTTTTTAAATTGTTCACTATTTCACTATTACTAAGTTTTATTATTTTAATATCAAAGTTACTTAAAAGTTGTAAATTTTGCTTACTTTACAAAAAATTTAATAATTTTGATTAATCTCTTTCTGTGCAGGACTTGGGTTGTGGCTGGGGATCCCTTACACTTTACATCTTAGAAAAATTCCCCAAGTGCCAAGTCACCTCCGTTTCAAACTCCAAGACACAGAAAGTTTTGATTGAGGAGAGGGCTGAAAAAATGGGTGCATCAGACAGGCTGAAAGTGATCACAGCAGACGCCAATGTTTACACCACAAGCGACACTTTTGATAGAATTCTTTCCATAGAGATGTTTGAGGTAAGGAATATTCAATTTTTTCTCCAAACTTCTTTTTGGAGGATTATATACCAAATTTGTTTTTAATCTATATCAAAGGCATATGCTTAAGCTTACTATTAAAAGTTTAAAATTAGGCCAAATGTTTTTCAGAATTATTTTATGCACATCCATCCCGCCACCCCCAAATAAACAGTTATAAAGCTGTATGGTATGATGTTTGGTAAGACATGAGTATTTCTAATATCGCATTGATCCAAATAAAATGCAAGTGTGATAAGTTGGTACCTGCCTTTTGAATATGCTAGCTGCTCTCCCCTGATCCCAAAAAAACCAAGCTGTAACTCTGATTTTTTAAAATTAATTCAACTTTTTTGCTGTTTCAAGAAAATGCATCACTATTTTAGAGGAAAAATCATACCTTTGTTTACAAAAATCCCCACATTTCAGAATAATTGTATGAAATAAACTTAATTAAAAAATTCATACCTATAAACTATAACATTTATAACATGAAAATGAAACATTTAAAAATATAATTATTTTGTCTTAGTTTGTCAAAGAATTAAATTAGGTACATCCAATAAATAATTTAAGGTATGAGAAAAAAATAAAGGGAAATCTAAATAAAATATATAATTTTTTGCTCCTATTTTATTTCCAGCATATGAAGAATTATGAATCCCTGTTTCATCGTGTCTCTACGTGGCTGAAGCCCAATGGGCTATTGTTTCTGCAAATATTTTGTCACAAACACCACCCCTATGCCTTTGATGTTAAGCCAGGCTCTGACACAGAATGGATGGCTAAAAATTTCTTCACTGGTGGAACTATGCCATCCAGTGATTTGTTTTTGTTCTTTCAGGTAATTAACATAATTAATTTTTCTTTTTCTGTGAAAGAATAAAATTAGCAGTGATGGACAAATTATTTTTTCAAATCAAATAATTAATATTCTAGAACACCTAAAGGCACTGGTTTCCGAACTGGTTGGTGTGGGTTAGATAATGTTCTTCAGAATGGTACACCAAAAATGTAGCAATGTTTGTGAGATAAGATAATCCTATCATCAAATCTTTTATCTTTTTTGTTGATTCATCAATCATCAGAAATGTTATATCAAAATGTTAATATTTTATTTTTAACAGCCAGTGTGAAAAAAGGTTTCTGTGTCTACCATAGTTACTATTGTAAAATATACTCTTCTTATTATTATTCTATTTTAAAATCACCTCTTAGGATGATCTCAGTCTTGTGGACTCCTGGGTTATCAATGGCAGCAACTACTCCAAAACTCTAGAAGCCTGGCTGGAGAAAATGGATGCATGCAAGGAACAAGTAGCTGAAATATTTGACAAAGCTTACGGTGACGGAGCTAAGCAGCAAATCTTTAACTGGAGGCTGTTTTTTATCTTTTGCTCTGAGGTGTTTGGGTACAAAGGGGGGAATGAATGGCATATTTCACACCAGCTGTTCAAGAAAAAATTGCTGAGCGCTTTGTGAATGTGTGTCTGTCTTGGCATTATTGAAAAATAAAATTTAAAATTCACACATGTTTTTTGCAATGTATGTGTGTGTGTGTGTGTGTTAGTTTTAAAGACCCAATTAATGACAGATTGATTCGATTGTGAAAATATAACAGCTATCTATATTTTCTTACTGTGAAATTCTGTGATATGTTCTTGATTTAACATGTAACACTATTTGGCATTAAATGTTTTTTAACTATTTCTATAATTATACAGCTATATTCTTTAAACACATTTATATTGAGTAATAGGCCTGACCATTGTTTATGATTTTAAAAATGTTGTTTATGTGATAGTCAATATTTATAAACTATTGTTAATTGTTGATATAAATAATACCAATAATTTTTCTATTTTCACGCTTAATAAAATCTTTTGTATTTTTAACATGGGTACCAAAATGTGTGGGCTTGTGGTCAAATCTTGTAACTCAATATTTTCTCATTTCTGTTGCATCAATTTTATTTTAACTTTCTTGATAAATTCATTTTCAGTGCCAATGCAAGAAATCTAATTTTCATTCCAATAAGATTGTAAATCAATCATTTTAATTAATTTCTTTCTTCTTCTTCTTCTTCATTCTAAATTTTATTGCTGGAAGGGACTCCCTCCAAAACAATTGATAATTACGTGTCAGCTTGTTATGTGCCATATAGGCTATTGACTCCACTTTCAGACTGCTTTTCTTTTTGGATTTGCTTCCATAGCCTTTGTCCAAGACAGCAGTTGTTGACAATAAGTAGTGACAGTCGATCAGGTGAATTATTTTCAGATAGTTTCACGCTTGAGATTCTCATGCTGATAAGGGGCACATAACTGTCGTTTAGAGTTACTGGTCGTGTAATGAAGCTAAATCATGCATACAACCCTGTTTATATTGACCACCACGCTCACATGAGACCTCTGCAGTGCCGGATCCAGGTTATTTACCGCTCTAGGCAAAACTTATTAAAAGCGCCACCCCCCCCCTGCAATTTGTTTTGTGCCCCCGTATTATCAGAGGCGTAGCGACCCTTCCCGGTACCCGGGGACAAACTTTCGATTAGCACCCTTCCTCAAACTTTCGATTTGCACCCCTCCCCCTCAAACTTTCAATTTGTTTTTCCAACCCATTTTGGCGCCCTAGGCGACCGCCTAGTTCGCCTTATAGGTAGCGCCGGCCCTGGACCTCTGTTATTTAAAAACAAGTATATAAATGTTACATTCATAATAATCTCACTATACAATTACCACTCTACATAGTCTAGTCATTTACACCCTTTTCAGAAAAAAAATGTATTCTCTCTCATTTACTGTATTGTTTTCTGTTAGTGGTATTTCGCGTGTCTGCCTTCTTTGCAGGATTGTTTCGTGTTCGGTTAGATCTTGGAATAAATCTTAGTTTTATATTACCCTATCAAAATATAGACATCATTCATAGTAGTTTCTTCCCGTCCGTATACCTAGCTCTGGATGAAGTGATTATGAGCACGACTGCCGTACCGATATCTCTGACAGGGCCGTCTGCTCGGGGCAGGGAGATAACTGGTGGTTTATGTGGTACAAGCAGACGACGGGATGTAAACATTGTTTGGTTATAAAGCGCGTTGGGTGGTATTTATAGCTGACTACCATCATAAATTGATAAAGTTGTGTACAGAAGAAGGGGTGCCTGGATAACGTTAAAACTCCATAACGACTTTATAGCATGGCCGGAGATGGATTTTGGATGGTTTATTAACACGTTATCGATGAAAAGTAAAGATACCATTTCGGACCTCACGGCTAATTGGGCAGATGAAGTAGAGTGCATCTTTTTCAGTGACCTCGGCATATGGAGGGATATTGTGGTCAGTATCACGTCCAACCGCTTTTAATTTCCCTAAACTGCCAGTGTGCAAAGGGTGTATTTTGTGCGCGCTTTGTTTTAGTAGTGTTATGGTTCTAGAAGGATGAACGTATTTTACAACTTACAAGATGACTGCGCGGCAGGTACTTGATAACTGCGTGGACGCGCTACAGCAGAGCTTTAATAGGTCTGTTAGTGTCGATAATAGCAAACCACTTAGTTAAAATGTCCCCGCATTATCAAAACGTACCCAGACCTATATATATCTTTTTAACGCTCGCTCACCTGTCGTTTTTAACAGATTATTTCAACAGTTGTATCAAGACATGGTTCTAAAGGCTTGAAAACGGTGAAGGACCCCTCCCCTCGCCCCCCCCCCCCCCCCCCACACACGCACACACCCTCTTCCCCTTCCCATCTACTCAATAGATGAAATTAAACGAATTCTGTGGGCATGTTCAAAATGAATGGGTTATCTCGTCACAGTAGAATGCCGACAGACATCTAGTCACAGTAGCATGTAGACAGACATCTCGACACAGAAGCCGACAGACATCTCGTCACAGTAGAATGCCGACAGACCTCTCGTCACAGTAGTCCATCTCGGCCCAAGGTAAACTCGCCAGCAACAGGTAAAAGATACTTGATCAGGTGACAAGGTCAAGTGGGCCACCCGTGGCTAACCACAGACAGCGGCCAGACAAAGAAAACGGGCAAAACCGAGGTGGTAACACGTGACTCCCGTATACATATACTCCAGTATTAGGAATTCATTTTTTTTTAAATGAAAGATACATTTTATAATGAGTTGTATGTGTATGTGAATTTTGGAGTGTGTTTGATCAAAAAGTAATGTATCACAACGTTTTAAAATAAATAAACCGGGAGCGATCTCCCCTAAACTTTCTCGAATATTTTTATATAAAAAAACAGAGGATGGGAACTCGGGATTTAGACATGAATTTTAATCCATTTTAAATAGGCCTACTTAAACTTTTTAGAATAGAATAAAATCTCGTGGAAAAAATAATTGCACACCAGTGAACGCCAAATAAAATGTGCATAATAGTGTGGAATATTATTAGTACTTTTAAAATTTACATTAGTTTTTTGAGAAATCGGAAGTAGCGGAAATTACTACTTCCAGTCAACGGAAATTATTCAAAATTTGACAGAAGGTGGTAGAGAATTAGATCTTTTACTTACATGTGAAATTTCATTTATCTATCTGAAATAGTACTCAAATTATAGGCTTTTGAAAAATTCAAAGTAAAAAAGTACCACTTCCGGTTATCGGAAATCGCTCAAAAGTTGATACGGATCTACGATTTTGATAAAAACCTTATATATGAAATTTCCTCAACCTAGCTATAACGGTACTCAAGTTATCGTGTTTACAGACACACACACAAGACTTTCTCTATACTTCGTATATACGAGAAAGTAAAAATGTACACAATATTCTACTCAACTAGTGTGTTGTATAGTCTTTGCTTGTTAAATCGAATTCCATTTTGATTTATTTAAACGGTACAATTGCTTGTTTACTTCATAGTGACATTTATTCATGTTCACAGGAAGAATATGATTCACATGCTGTGGAGGTGGGGGATTAATATACTACCATTTACAAAGATACAAAAGCTATATTTTAGAGTATAAACCAAGGGTTGAATTCAGTTCGTTTACTCTTGTCGTTCTGTTCATGTATGTTAATGGTTTTTTTTTTATTCAGTTAAAAAAAATGTTTAGTGGTTAGACAATAGCTCCGTGCTAACCGTTGTTTTGTGATAAGTTATTGTTTTTTTTTTACATTGTTTTGTCGAAACATAACATACAATTAACGCCATGTTTTTAATTCAATTTTCAGCAACGAGAACTGTACCATCACGGTGCCATCACCATAAGAAACAAACCGTACCATAACCATAAGAAACAAACCGTACCATCACCATAAGAAACAAACCGTACCATCACCATAAGAAACAAATCGTACCATCACCATAAGAAACAAACTGTACCATCACCATGAGAAAAAAATTGTACCATCTCCATAAGAAACAAACCGTACCATCATCATAAGAAACAAAATGTACCATTACCATAATAAACAAAACGTACCATCATCATAAGAAACAAACCGAACCATCACCACGAATGGTTAATTATTATTTCCGCTCTACCTTAAGAGGGGGTTAACTAAAATCAAGCAGACAGCACCCAGAAAACGTGCTATACTGTACAGCTCAGGAAATTTATCTCAGCCTCCTACAAACAACGCCCGTGGTGTTGAATTAAGCACTAGTTAAGTATTCTTTTATCAGCGCATGCTTGCGTCCCTTGGATGAAATGTTCGTTACCAGCAAGCGATTGCCTCCCTTCCTAGCATCTAATTCTAGATCTGTTTGGAGGTAAAATTAATAAATACGAATTATCTTTTTAAATTATCTTTAAATATATCTTATAATTAAGGCCATAAAATAATATGAAAGGAAATAAAACGAAAACTAGTCACGAAATAATCTAAGAATATAACAATATTTACCTAATTGTTTAATTAATTGGCGCAATTTAGATTACATAACTCACATTCGTAACCTATGGCGAAGCTAAGAAGAGAATAATGGTGTCCACCCCTAACAACCCAGCCCCCCCCCCCCCTCTCCCTGGGCGGGACGCTTTTTCTTCTATTTATATACAAACAGCTGCTAATTAGAGAGTTCGCCGTCTAGATGTAGAATCTAGGTTATGTAAATAGTTCTGAAAAATAAAAAAGCCGACTGAAATATTTAGCTAAGCCTCAGTCTTCAGTGGTTTAAGGAAGAAAAAAAAATCAACCCCAGAATATTTTACACTCGATAATCATATACTGCATACGGTGAGGTCAATTCTGGGTGTTCATTCGATGTAAAGCTAGACAAACTATTTTAATCCCAGCATAAATTCGTCCAGGTTTAGAGAGGCAAGTCGGACGGCATTTTAATGTCGTGGGCTTTGCTGGAGTGCGACTGTCGAAGTGACGTAAATATATGCGTCGCATGACGTGCGTCCAAGTTGAGCCGATTATCACCACAGAAGGAATCGGTGGGGGGGGGGGGGGGGGGGGAAGATTGTATGAAGGTATCCAAGCTGACAAACCAGTGTCTGATGTAATGTAGTGGATAGCCTTGTATAATTCTTTACTCTCCCCCCCCCCCCCCATTTCCCCCTACTAATTTTTTTCTGATTGTTACAGAACCCCCGCCATCAGATTCACAAAGAACTTCCACGCTGAACTGTGTTTGGGAATTTAAAAAAAAAACAACAACAAAATCCTTCGAATTTTAGAAATCCGCAGACGAATTGGGGGTGATGCAAATGAGGGTGGTTTTACTTAATGTGGGTGATGCAAATGAATGTGGTTTTACTTTTCGTCCGATAATGTCACAATAATGAAAAGGTTTTTTTTTTAAAAATATTTTTGCTAAAAAATAACTCATAGTTTATTAGGAAAAAGAAGTAAAATGAAGGGAGAAATTTCATTAA